AAAATATCCGATATCTTGGGCAAGGATACCTTTTATATGTATGTATGTGTGTATTGATTTTAGATTACATTTTTTTCTTATATGTGTTGGCCAAGGAATCACTTCAGTCGAGCCGTCTCTTGTTTAGTTGCTAGTTATTTTTCTTTGTAGTAGATAGATACCTACCTATTGATAAATAACTAACTAACACGATAAAGAATTTTTGGAAAGCACTTAATTGACGATTTTTACATAAGTATCAAAAATTACAGACAGAATGAAATATAAAAGACCAAGCGTGAAACCTTTTTGTTTAAATGGTATTTGATAAATGGCACTCCCTATTATTGCAATTAATACTCCATCACCGTCCTATTCCGTTTGTGCCCAAAAAGTCACGGCTGTATTTACTCTTAATCTATTACTAACTACTATTAAAACATGTAAAGCTTATTTCAATGTAAATATATTCCTATTTTGAGGAGAGAAAATCATCCAATTACATCTCTCGCCCAGGGTGAGGCGAAATGAAGTGTCAGGCTTTCACTGACTAAAAATCCCCTCGATCCTCCTCCTGCTCTAGGCCAAGGCTTTCGTGCTTCATTGCACTTGCCTTGCAACCCCGGCTGATGTGTATAATTATTTTAGATTAAGGCTCGGTCACACTTATGTCTGCCACAGCACTATTCATGCAATGAATTATTATACATCTAAACCTAATTTTAATGTAAAATTATTTCTGATCTATCTATGATTATCAGCCGATAAGTGATCACTACTCAGCAAACGCCTTTTCTCACAAGAAGAAAGCCTGAGCAATAATTACAACTGTAAGGTATTAACGGATTGACGATTTTAGACATAATAGAGGTTATTCCCATCAAGTAGCAGATATCAAGTTGTAACTTATATATTTATAAGGCCTTTACTTTCAGGATCAACTCGCTCCATATAAATCAACGATCAAAGGTTTAAGGTTTTTTTATTATTCCTAAATAAACCAAATAGATTAATACTAACTATAGCATTATCAATGTCATGAACTCCCGCGCAAACAAGTTTATGATCAATGACGGAAAACGTTACGTACGAAGACGTTTACCTACCCTACCAACTAAAATCTTCAAGCGGACAAAATTGGAACTAACGTTAAATAGTTTAGGAAGCCTATAGGAAATTGCACACTAGCGACGTTGGTAAGTGTATACTGAATTTGGTCGCATTATGATACCTCAGAAGGTAGGTTAAGCACAGTACCCATATAAAAAGTGAGATAAGGAATATTGTCACTACCTCCATAACAATTACTTAGCATGTCAAAGGTAATTCACATTTATTGCTAAGTATATAAGATCTAATTTTATGACCTCCTTATCAAAATGAAGGTAAGAAACTTGGTTCCTAAGTATATCAACCTATCTACATAAGTCCTGTTTATTGCCTACGTCATAGCCTAGCCATTTATACTATGGAATCTTGCTTTGATTATTTACGAAGACCCTACATAATTACCTAAAATACGGTTTTTTTTATTATCGAAGAAAAATGTTGATTTGGGTAAGCACTACTTAGTTTTGCTATATGTAAGAAATACATTACACGACAAGAAACCATCTTCGGCCACCGGCACCGTAGGCACGAGTCTCTTGATTGGCTTCTTGTTTACAGGAATCTGCATTTAGTAACGAGCACATCCTTCGGCAGTAGGTACCTTGCGGCGACATAATTCTCTTTTTTAATTTTATACCTACTGGTTTTATAATTTTGATGATGACATTCAAAAATGCCTCATGATGGTCTATTTCCAACCATTAGGTGCCTACCTAAATTATTTGATTTTGAGTTTTACTTTAAATGTTTTTGTTGCCTAGCTGAAAAAATAAAAGAAAGCCTAAACTGCTTATTATCCCCAAATAAAAAAAATGTCGTCTCATCTCTCACTCAGAATACTAGTAACAGTTTTAATCAATAATGATAATTTGATGTAACGTAATGAATCGAGTGAACTGAACAAGAATCGAGTGACAGTTCAGCTGACGGGTAACTAAGGGTCTAACGGAAACAGGCATCACGACAATGGCTATCGAAACTTAAAATACATTGTAATATAGAAAAAAATATCAACATCTGGCCATTGTATGATTCGCGGGGGAGTCTCTGTGAAATAAATAAATAAATAACAAAACGTCGCCACCGCACGCGTCATTATTCAAGTGCGATTGACAGGCACTTCCATGGCGCGGGGTCGCGGCTACCTCAATAATACGCCTACTTATTGCCGCCGAGCAATGCGCGGCTAGTACGACCAAATACCTTTGATACTTCGCTAGCCAAAACACTCTTTTTTTATACAATAGGTCGGCAAACAAGCAGTGTAGATACAGTAAGCAATCAGCGCCACCCATGGATACTCGTAGTACCAAAGGAGTAACTACACGTGCGTTGTCGGCGTCTTGAGGATTATTAGGTATTTAAGGATAGAATAGGTATTTAAGGACTGAGGATTGCGGGAAGAATTGGACCTCCGGTAACCTCACTCACACGGCGAAACACAACGTAAGTACGTGTATGTTCTGCTGACAAATTCGTCCACTAGTGAAGAAAGGCTTCTCTTAAAATGGATTTGTTATAACTTCCTGGCTTTTTCTCAGGGTGGTGCATTATACAGTTACTTCTTTTTCAGACGCATACTGCAGAAAAGCCACCCCGTTCCTTATCCGGGGTCAATTATCTCCCTTTAACTTTTCAAGAACTTATGTCAAAAATCATATCTCAATCTATATCGATTTGAAACCGGATCTTGAATTCATAACCTATATTTTTTTAAATTTTTTTTTTAAATGAGTGATAATTTGATGATTTCGTTATTGAAAACCTTTCCAATTTCTGTGATGAACACATTCTATGATATGTTGCTTATAGCCGGATTAAATGGTATAAAATTATGTTCTTATTATGCGAATAAGTCAATATTTGTTATACCAACCAATTACCAACTTATTGAATTTCAACAAGTATCAAGATTAGTCATAGTTGCTATTAAGGATTTTTCTAAGACGTGTGCTATCGTATTGAACAACGGTGGCGAATCGAAAACTTCATGAATAAATATAAATTCGATATTCTTTTTGAATGAATGAAAACGTCGAATAAAAATGTGATTTATCATAAATGTCGTGTGCTTTCAATAGGAGCTAGTCTTTTATAACTTTTAAATAAACATCATTTTTGGGGATGACTTACAAAATGGCGCGCAGCGAATTGTATTTTTTTTTATTGTGTTTTTAGGAGGACAAGGGATGCTAATGAGTGGAGGACACCCACGCGACGATGACAATGCGTTTTCTTTTTTAAATTTAAACAATGTTTGCGAATCTTTATTTGGATGTATGTTTTGTATCTATGCCAATACTTAGGTATCTACCTACGTCCAAAGTGGACGTTTAAAAACATACTAAACTGCAGAAAGACCTGGAACAAAAGTTGACCAGCCGATGCGCCAATCATTCAGCCCTGAAGATAAATGAAAGCATATTATTGTAGGATGATACTTACCCAGGCAAAAAAATACTTACTTTGATAATTAAAAGAAAAAAAATTAAAGAATTTTATAATGTCATAATAATAGGCACCAAATTACGAAGGCTACAGTTTTTGATCACAATTCACTTTGGTATTTTATTTTCACTTAAATACTAAAAGATAGTTGCCTAATTAAGTACCTAATAAATATACCCGATATTCCATCACGTCACGGAGTTTCTACGAGACAATGTTCGGCTTTGAAGTTACTAAATGGATATTTATAGACCAGAAATAATTGCGCAAACACAGGTGCACTAGTAAAATTAGACTCCATTAAAAAGTTGCCAATGACGCAGTAATCCGATTGTCCTTGACAACTAATTTATAGATAGATAATTACTTACTTTCTAATAATTTAACTTACCTAACAATCCTTGTATCGTAATTACTAGGACAGGTATCCACTCATTTTTTAGATAGATATGTGATAGGGCATTCCTCCAGACGTCTACTAATGAATAATATTTATTAGATATACCTACATAGGTACTAATAATTATTATTCAATGGTAGGACAAGCCCGCCGCAACTTCTCAAAAGCGCTGCATCTCCTGTAAGCCAGGATCAAGGTACAGCAGATACAACCATGAACACACCGGAACACTGAATTTATACATACATCTACCTAAAAGCTTGTAAATAAATGTAGGTATAGTAGGTTTGCCTATAACTCTATGCTATGATTAGGATAATAGTATCTATAGAGTTCTATCGTACCCCGCTGACGTAAGGGCTTACCGGGCACGCAAGTTTCTATCGGTTTCAGATCCAGCGGGAGGAAACATCCGGGCCCGGCCAGAATGTCATCATTTTGAGGACCACCCGGAGGACACGGTGGAGCATACGGTGGTAGGCGTACCCTGCTAGGGCTCTCGCGTCCGGCTTTAATCGAAGGCGTATCTAATACTTGCAAGGAAGAGCGCGTAAAGAAACTTTCTCCCAGTCCCAGTCGCCCCAGTAGGAGACACTCCGGGGATCGCGTGACGACCTCAAACCAGCCAGCAAGGGCAACCTGTACGTGTATAAATGTATCGCTTATATCTTAACTTAAATTCAAGTTCGAAATACTACGATGGCAAATCTCAATAAACAACAAAGACAATAATTTGAAATCAATTAACGCTTGCGTATAATGAAACTTACTAGCTACGTTCCGTCACGCATAATACATTGCTATTTGGTTTATTGTTCACGTTTATGAACATTACGTTTATTGGAACGTAGTTCCCACTGCGTTCCGTTACGCAAAATAGATGTTGTGGACACTCGTATTAGCGTATACTCTAATTATAAAACTGTACAAAGTAAGTTTCACTTAAATGACTAACTTTGTCTACACAATTTTGTATCAGGAACAATATAAAAATTTAATTCATTTTCGAATTATATGAAACAACTGTTGAATTACTGCTGGTTCCGGATTACAGTGCATGAGTTGAAACTTTCGATGACGTTCCAATTTTGACAGTGACAAAAGAAATTGGTATTCACCGCATCAAACCGTGACTTTCATAATTTGTTTTAGTATCTAAATAATTGTTAAGTTTGTAGTGAAAATTCATGTAAGAACTTATTATTAAGAATATTTTCTAAGTTCTTTAATCATATTTCCTGTTTTCAAAGACTTTTCATAGCATAAACTTTGTAATGACGCTTACAACAAACAATTGAAATCTTGTTCTATTCCTCAAGATACCTACTAATCTCCTCATTTTTGTATATTTCAGTAAACATGGCAGCATCTGTAGTGAACGCATACAGCGACCCTTGTATTCCTGAATGGATGAATGCACCGCACAGCACAGGAACCTCAATCATGGCGTGCGAATTCAATGGTGGTGTGGTCATCGGCGCCGACTCTCGTACCACGACCGGCGCTTACATTGCCAACAGAGTGACCGACAAACTCACTAGGATTTCCGACCATATTTACTGCTGCAGATCAGGGTCGGCCGCTGACACCCAAGCCATTGCTGATATTGTAACTTATCATTTGAGTAAGTGAACCTTTAAGTCCTATATTCCAATTAGATGAAACAGGTACTTCAAACTCAATAAATTTGTCTGTTGCTATTAAGATAACTTATTTCCTTGCTCATACTTAAAATAATGAGCAGATTTAATACAAAAAAAGTATGTTATGCTTGTTAAAAAGAACATTGTATTACCTAAAATGTCCTGTAGTTGGATCTGGAGATCTCTCTAGCTTGTAGCATTATAAGGGACCCCATGTCAATATAAATTATGAATTGAAAAAGAATAAATCTGAACAATAAGATATATTGCGTATTGTAAGGATTGTAAAGAGGTAAAAATAATGAACTTATATATAACAATTTACATTTACAATTTGGATTAGGCAAATAGCTTTACTAGAGGACAGACAGACAGACACACAAAGTTTTGACTGATTGAAACCTTATCACCCAATGTAGTTCAGGAAGCTAATTCTTTAAAACCATCTTTTTTCAGATTTCCTCAAGATGGAGCTGGGTGAGCCTCCCCTAGTTCACACAGCCGCTGCTATGTTCCGTGAACTTTGCTACAACTACCGTGATTCCTTGGTCGCTGGTATCCTGGTTGCCGGCTGGGACAAGAAGAATGGAGGTAATTATATTTGGTACCACCCTCAGCTTCGCCTTTGTATCTTGATATAAAGCAGCCTATGTGTTAATCCAGAGTATCACCTATCCTTCACTTTTGTGTGTGGAAAATCATGAAATGACTGACACAGGGAGTGTCAGACACTTATTGATAAAAAACCCCCCCAATCCGAGGGCATAGCCTATCTACATACCGAATTTCAACCAAATAGAAGTTTTTAGTGTGAACAATTACCAAACATACATACATATATTAAGAAGTTGGGAAGGAAGGATGTCTGATTAAAATGTAGACAAGGCCTAGCCTCTACCTTACCTGCCATAGACATTCAAGACATCAGCTATAGACTTGCAATTGATTGCTAAAATGAAAAAATAAATGTGTTATTACTACTAGCTGTGTATCTCCCCACTTAAATTACTGACATTCAGCCAAATCTGCTTGAGACTCTTGAAATACACTAGGAAATAAGCCATGAGAATGACTTGCTGTTTGAAAGTTTAGATTTTAATTAAGAAGGATTTTATTCCTGTAATAACATCAGGATAAAAATAGTCTAAATGCCATCCTCCGTGAAAATAAGCTTCTCTAATGATGAAAATATTTTTTTAGTTCATTGAACTCCATAGGTATTATTTCAGTTATTATATTAGCATTAAATTTGTGTATTTTTCTGATATAACTTACTGAAACTCAAAAAGTAGTATGTGATGGTGGGTTGAAAACTATTTGCCTGTCACATATTTGCTCTAATGACATTGTTCATAAATAATAATAATCATTAAGCCACTCTTGCTTATTTTATAAATGATTTTTCTCTCCTTCCAGGACAAATCTACTCTGTCCCCATTGGTGGTATGGTGCAACGTCAACAAGTTTCCATTGGTGGGTCCGGTTCAAGCTATGTGTATGGTTACGTGGACGCCAACTTCAAACCGAACATGAGCAAGGAGGAAGCTATCAAGTTTGTTACCAACACCCTGACACTTGCCATTCTTCGTGACGGCTCATCTGGAGGTGTTGTGAGGCTCGGAGTCATCACTGAAGCTGGTGTTGAACGCTCTGTCGTCTTAGGCGACCAGCTACCTAAATTCTATGAGGGCTAATTTACATTTGCACTTTGTACTTTTATTTTGTAAGTAATAAAACTTTTTGGAAACAAAATGCGGTATTTTATGTATCGTTCGTTACATTATTTTAATTTTTTTCTTGTTGAGGCATTTATTATTGTTGAGGCACTAGGAAAACTAGTGCCTCAACAAAAGTTGATCTGTGCTCTAAAGAGCCCTAAACTTTCAGACTAAACTTATTTTATAAGAACAAAATTTCGAAAGTTTGTATACAATGTATTTATTGAACTTTGTTCATACGCTTTTCATACATCCTGGTTTGGTTAGACAGACAATTTTCATACAAGATCAGAAAAAAAAATAACATTATGTGATATCAAGCTTTTTACCGAAGCCTGTCTGTATGCCTGTCCGACCTAGGGCTGCTGTTGGCATCCTTGGGTCTCTCCAAGCAGAGAAGTGCGGTGGACACGGTGGATCACCACCTTAGTAACTAGGAGTTAATAACACAGATATCAGTACCTCGCCCAACTCCTTGCTCTAGCCTGCTCGAAAATCTTGCAATATCTAATTCTAAAAAATAGCAAATTTCTAGTTGTACATAGGAACAAAATTTTCATCGCCTCCACTACGTTTATGTTCCAGGTTCCTCTTCTAGGGACAAGATTATAAGATTTTGACCTGTAATAGACCCGTTTATAAAATCTTAAAATAGAAAGGTCCTAGCCATAAACAAAGAAATTTTCTTCGTGTTCTGTGATAGATGTGTAATTACAGTTTTGCTGATTGGTGTATTGGAATTAGGGTATTAACAAATTTTCACAATTATATCCTAAATCCTCTTTTAATTTAGTTAGGATTCGAAGTTTTTCGAAAACATCTCTAAATACACAAGCACGCGTCATGCAGTTGCATTTTATTGTAAAGCTCGGGCTCGAAAAATTTCACAGAAAGCGCCTGTTCCACAAAGGTATAACAAGAAAAAATTTGTTACTTCTGAAATCCTTTATTTGTATTTTGGTATCATCACATACAACATCGTTAGATATCAACAGGAATATAGACTATGAGAGCATTTTCACTTACAACCATTTATTATTGGTATTAACACTTAAACAGGTATTTATGGCAATTTTTTATTTACAAGTTATAATCATTTCAGATATTCTTTTTATACGAAATAAAATTTGCAGTTCGTTAGCCTCCTTAAAACTAATGCCTGAACCTAATTGGCTAATTTTGTTCTTCAAATATTATTTTAATAAGTTCAAAGAAATATTAAAAAGCCATACAATATGAAAATCATTGTCAATTATATTATATCACTAATTACATACTTACATTCTTACATGAACGAAGCCGAGGGCACGACTGTTACAAAATATATACGCTTATTTTGTTTACAGCAATTTCCTAATTAATCCTTCTAAGAAATACATTAAAGCTTTGTAACTTTCAAAACTAAACAGGTTTGTCAACTATTTCGTTTCTTTGAAGCTTAAAGTATAGTTTAGTTTTAGATTTATTTGAAAGAAATTGTATTATTGAACAAAAAATCATTTAGGCAAGTTCCTTAGTAAACTGAGTATGGTGCTGAAGTGTTTACGATTGGTGGTTATTACATAGTATATCTTCATTCGCAATAACACTTAAAACAAGGCACTACTAGCTTGCTTTTGTCCATACTTGACAGCTAGGTCTAAATAATAGATTTATTGTGCTCGTTCCATCACGCATTCCACGTGACATGACATGTATAGTCTACGTGATAACTCCCAACTCCTCCATGGTCTCCAGATCCCTCATCAGCATCTGCACAGTCTGCTTGGTGCGCGGGAAGTACTCTGCTGTCTCATCGTCTTCAAATGATGGGTCTTGAGATTCTAATTCTGGAATTGAAATTATTTCTAGTATTTATCTAAGCTTAGCATAGCTGTAACCAAGAAGTAAATAGATTAAAATGATAACTGTTGTAAGACATTCAGTCACCAAAATGTTTGAAAGAGGTGTGCAACTTTAAGTAAATTTTAAGCCACATAATCCCATTAATGAATAAGATGCAAATTACTCAATAGCTATGACTCATTGGCCATCAATATTGAACATTTTGGAAAGCGAAAAAACCCAATAAAGTGTGCTTTGTCTACCCTGTGGAATCAAATTCAAGATTTGGAAAATAAGACTAAATTAGTTCTTTATTCCTTGATGGTAAGGCCAGTGTTTTTTTCTTACATGAAAGCCCACCATATAGAGAAGAAAGGGAAGATTATTATTATTCTTTGGCTAATAATATTATTAATTAACGTACCTGCAACCTGCGCCTCGATGGAGTCTAGCCTAGCGTCGATGAGTGCCTGGCAGCGTTGTAAGTGTTTGAGTAGCTGGCGGCGACAGGTCGAGTTCTCTATGGGGGGCTCAGGCTGCGGGGCCACTATCATGGCGCGCTGGGCTTCTTGCTCTAAAATATTACATTAAAATCCTGTGAGACTCCAATATAAGCCTATAAGACTGTTCTGCATATGAAGGGATTGGCATTAACTTGCATATTTATGAATATCCTGAACATTTTTAAGAGTTTAGGTACTATTAAAAGTGCTCTAAACTTAATGGCAATGCTAAAAGTACGAATAGTATTAAAAAAAACTGAAAAACAATGTCTGCGACTTGCGACAAAGATAATATAATAACAGTCAGACAGAAGAATATTCAGTGTTTTGACTTATGATTAATAATCTTACCTTGCACAGATATAGCAAGTCGTTCTAACTCTGATGTGCTGATGGGCAAGTCCAGTGACGGATCCCCCGGGCTCGAGAGTAATCCACTTAATAATGACTGAGTACCAAGTTGGTTGTCCTTCTGTGAGTACCTATCACAGGGAAATATGTTAAAAAACAATGACAAGATAGTCCTATTTGGATTGAGATTAAAATTATATTATACTAATGCTAAAAATGAATTGGCGATACAAAACTTCTCCACAATTCAATGGATGATATTACACATATAAAACTTCCTCTTCGACTACTATCTATAAAACATCACATCAAAATCCGTAGCGTAGTTTTAAAGATTTAAGCGCACATATGATATAGGGACAGATAAAACAACTTTTTTGCTTTAAACTATGTAGTGAAATGATGAAACAAAACATCAACAAAAATCCTTTACCATTATTCTCTATTTACACTCAAACAAACTTAATAAGCTACCACTAATAACAAGAACAGGCTTCTTCTTTAAGTAGAAAATGTACTCATTGTTTATGTAGAAAACGAGTAGAGTGAATTACTCCTTACTCATATAAACTCAAATACGGGACGGGAGATTAAGTGTGGGAGAGCCATGCTTCGGCACGAAAGGGTCGGTTCGACCGGAGTGATACCACGGCCTCACAGAAAACCGTCGTGAAACAACCACAGCGTGGAGTTTCGCCGTGTGAGTGAGGTTACCCGAGGCCCAATCCTTCCCCTCCCCCAATCCCTAATCCCCAATAGGTCGGCAACGCACTCGTAACTCCTCCGTCGTTACGGGTGTCCATGGGCGACGTTGATTGCTTACCATCAAGTAATCTGTTTGCTCGTTTGCCGACCTATCACATAAAACAAAACAAAATTCCTTTCTTTAAACACTCTTTTCCTACCTTTCCTGATCCTGTTCTTCAGACGGCGGCGTTTTTAGATCCAATTGTATGTCCTTCACGTCTGCCGGCTTAATAGGTTTGTTCTCTTTATCTATATTGATCATTATGTTCAGATCCGAATAGTCAGAGTTTAGCTTTTCTTGCGTGTTCTGAATCTCAAGCTGCTCCCAGTCTTTGGCCCATAGGTATAATTTTGGATGGTCTTTTTTACTGTACGAATGAAAATATTAATTGAAATTTTTGAAACGTAACTGTCGTGAGATATACTAAATTTGTGGAAAAGAACGATTTAAGTAAATTAAAAGAAAAGCTCTATTAGTATTAAGTCACACAAGACATCAGTCAGTTGCGCGAAGTTGCCGCGACGCGCACACCACTCATAAAGAGTCCTGGAATGACTTGAAACTAGTAGGGGTTTTCTCCTGTCTTTATTTTTAGTAAATTTAAATAATAGATATTTCTGAACAAATAAGAGTGACACTAAAAATAATAAAATCAATAAGTTTTTATTTATATACAATAAAGCGAGAAAACCCAACGGTTTTATTGAAATAATTTAATTGCCCTATTTTTACATGAACCTTTTACACAACCTACTAAGGCTGATAGTACATTATTGGTAAAACAATACCACATCATTGGTTAGACTTTAGGCCCATGTAAGATTTTATGAAAACCTACCCTAAATTTTACACATAAATAACAAATTCTACTTACGTAGCAACATAGTACTTGACTCTGAGCGCATGCAAGGCATCCTCAATGCGCAGGAGATTGCCCGCGAGCTCGTGGGAGCGGCGCAACGTCTCGCACGGCTTGCCCCCCGGTAATAAGCCTTCGTACATGCGATCCTGGTCGTGTAGGAAACGCTGCGACCGACGCCCACGGCGAGGATTTAGGCATATACTGCATGTGTATTTTTCCGGAACCTGTAATGCAATGTAATATTTGGTTAAGATGACTACTAAACTAAAGTTTTACTTAGATATGCCAGTAATTCCCAACGATAAAAAAAGATCAATATAGACGTATACAATCTAATACCCACTTCTCTCCAGCATAATGTTTTTATGTCCATGATGTAAAACCCATGTAAAAAGTAGTGAATCTTGTTAGATATTAAGCAAAATTCAGACAATGCCATTATTGAAAAACTGTATCAATAAATGGCACAGAGTACATATTGTACTGAAATAATTTGTTTAAGTGTGGGACAGCCATGCTTCGGCAAAAATGGGTCGATTCGACCGGAGTGATACCACGCGCTCAGAGACCATGCACCGGCGTGGAATAACCAAAGCGTTGTGTTTTGCTGTATGTGCGAGGTTACCGGGGCCCAATCCTTCCCCCTACCCTCATCCCTTCCCAACCCTTAAATATCCGAAACCTTTATCCTTACAAGGCCGACAACGCACTCATAACTTCTCCGTGGTTACGGATGTCCGTGAGCGGCGCTGCTTGCTTACCATCAGGTAATATGTCTGTTCGTTTACCGTCCAATCGTATAAAAAAGTAAGTAAGTATATGACTCACATCGCACTCCCGCTGTATGTTGTGGCAGAGCGCATGCTGCCAGCAGAGACAGAGCTCGCACTGCACCATGAGCCCGTCCTCCTCGCGGAACCCGCAGTGGCAGTTTATTATCTCCTCGCGCTTCATATGCACTATCTTTATACGCTCGCCGTCTATACAAAACAAATATTACTCAGAAAGTAAAAGTTATTACGAGTCCATGCGCTAACGATGAACGACAAATCAAAAATCCATAATCTGCCTATGAAGCTATGTAGAAAGTCTAAGAGAAATCAATGCAACTGTATATATTTTAAGAAAGAAATCAAGAAATCAATGTCGGCCATCCCGATATAACTACCTAGCTTAGCTCCGCTAGCCTTTCTGGTGGGATGATCTTTCCTACTCGACATGCTTCCCTAAACCACCAGCTAAACTTCTGAAAGACTGACTCTAACGCCATAATATTCTTTTTACGTTTTTAATACTTACTTTCAGTATACATATACATATTCGCGTCCTTATTCTCCTCATTAGACTCGGAAGACACAGGCGCGACCTTGCAATCAGCTTTAGAATCAGGTGTCCCTGACCGGGGGAAGCTTGACCTTGTGTCAAAGTCAGAATTAGCTCCCAACCAATCTTCTTCCTCACTCGCCGGCAGTTTGGCAGCCAGAGCGAAGGTCTTACGTTTCTTCTCAGTTCTTCTCTTCTTTTCTATTAAAGGTTTGGTGACTGTGTGTGTAGATATCGCGCTTTCAAAGTCCAATGTTTGTAAAGGCGGGACTGCCATCTTAGGCTCAATGTTTTCATTGTTCTCCACGTCTACTTCTTCGTTTACTGGTTCAGGCAATACTGGCTCTGGGTCAGGTCTTCTAACGGGCAGCAACACTCGCGGTCTCTTCACTGGCTTGTTGCTCAAAGCCTGCCGAAGCTTGGGCGAGTCCTGACTTCTAGGTACTGGCAAATCAGGTTCCTTAACCGGTGCAACAGGTGTTGTATCCACTTGCAGTTCTGGTTTAACTTCCTTCACTTCTTGCTTCGGTTCCTCTCGCTTCGGAGGTCTGGGTATCTTCACTTTGATGACCTTATCGTTAGTCACTCTAGGACTCTCCAACTCTATGGGCTGCTTAGTCCTTGCGTATGCGAGGTCTAGAACTTTCGGTGTGTCGCCCAACATCTTTCTCAATTCTCTGTGATAGTGTTTAATGTGCATTTGTATTAGAGTGTTATTTCGGAAGTTCTTGAAGCAACCTTCAGCTGGGCATCGGAGGAGGTTCTCGATGATTTGAACTTTTAATGAGCCGACGTATACTGGAAACGGAATTAAAAATTAATACCTTATGGTATAAAAAGTACCGATCTGCTACCGAGCTGTAAGGATCATACCATATCCATCTTCCAATGGAGGAACTTCTACGGCAGGTTCTGGAGCTGGCGAGTCATCATTTGCACTTTGCAAGCTTGGCGACGATATAGGATCTTCTGATGGTGGACCCTACGAAAAAAAAATTGATTCAAAATCACTGACTCACTATAACTACGCGTCTAAATCGCAAGGAGAATTTCAAAAAAGATTTAATAATATTTTTTATTTCCGCACGAGTAAAGTTACTGGGAAAACCAAGAAATGATAAAGCAAGTCAAAACTTACATCCTTAGATTTCGGCACCTTCATCTTGATGGTAATCTTTGGTCTTTTGTCTTTTCCATCTCTCTTCTTCTTGAGGCTTAGTTTCTTGCGTTTAAACAATGGGGAGGTACTGCTAAGAGTGCCTGCTGGGAGGAGCGGTGCAGAGGGCTCGCCTTCAGCAGTCTGTGTGATCCATCCCATACGGCGTGCCAGTTTTAGGTGCACACCAAAGTCCGTTAGTGCATATTCATAGCCCCCTCGTAATAGCGAGGGGTTGTTCTCCAAGTATACTCGCATCTCGTTCTTTGTGTGGAACCGCCGGTTATCAGGGCTGAGGAGGACGAACATACAAGTTACACGTACTTACTAAATTAAGAATTACATATAAACTTTGCTGTTACTTCTATGGGCTACAGCTTACTACAGCACGCCTTTAGCTTAACAAACTAGAGATTTCTTGTACAAACGTTTTTAGCTTCTATCATAACCACACATATTCTTGCACAAAAGTACTCCACATCTGGCCTTATCCCAGCATATCATCCGTGACACGATAGATTTACAAATTGAACTACTAAATATCTACTAACTACTGAGTTTTAAACAATATTACCTGACTAACACGACGTCCCACTTGCCCGCAGAATTCCCGAAGCTCCTACGGACCATGTGCTTCGTCCAGCCTTCGGGTAACCTCTTATCTTCAACCTACAAAATAAATGATAACATTTTATTATATAGTATTTTATTGTATACGTCAACTTTATACGTGTAGACTTTTCATAGCCACCATAATAACGAAAGGCGAAATGATTTTGTTGGATGAGCAGAAATATATACAACGGAAGGACACGAAACCTCCCAAAACCTCCTGCAACTCCTGTAGCCTACAGTTGTTAAAACCATGAATACCACCGAAACAGTGACGTCCGACACGTCCCAGAAACAACAACTGTCTGAGACACCGTATAAATCAAAAGATAATAATATTATTGACAGAGAATATGAGATAAAGGATCTTTTACTGGGACGATCACGACTGAAAATAAATAAACATGTTCGTTGATATTTACCTGTACACTTCTTCTAGGTAAAGGTGGCTTGCTACCAGGCTCTTGTTGCTTAACCTCGCATTCGATCTCGCTGACGGTACCAAGGGGCTGGCCATTGACCCATCGGCAACACCACTCGTTAGGCAGAAGAAAGCTCTCCGGCAACATGGCCCCAGGTGCCACGTGCGCTAATTCCGGTCTCTTCAATATCTGTTGTCTCATCTCAGACATTTGCTTTTTCATCTGTTTCAATTCATTTTTTACTCTCTCCACTTGTTTTTTAACTTTCTTCTCCTGTAACAATCTCAATTTCTTTCCCTTCTTCACTTTCGCTAGTTTCTCCTTATCTTTTTCTGTTTGTTCTTCTGTTTTCTTATCGCTTTCTTCTTTGATGTCTGTTGTTGGTTTTACTTCTGGAGTCGGTATTTCTTCTTTAATTTCTACTTTAGGTGAGTTAACCTTTTCAATTTGGCTCAAACCATCTTCTAGTTTGTTTATGGCTTCTTTGATTCTGTCTATTACTTCTTCGTGTCTTACATCGTCTGGTTTTTCAAACTGTTCTAGTTTAACTTCTTCATCTAAAACCTGGAAATTATTTTGTTATTATAATTTCTGATTTACACTGCAACCATACTGAGACACTAAAAATATTATAATAATTTAAGTACCGTTTTAACGCTACCACTCACTTGCACACTTTTAATTCCAGGCTGCTTTGAAACAAACACATTTTTATGAATATCATGAATCAAAACTAGAATTAAATAAAGAGTATTTAGCAATTTACTTACTGGGTCAAGTTCGCCTTTCAAATCTTCTAACTGAATGAGATCATCTTCATTATTATTTTGTTTGATTGGATCATCAATGGAATTTCTAGTATCTATTTCACTTTCTGTCTTTTTGTCATCAGTAGGTTCTGGGTCTGGTTGTGCTTCTTCATTCTTTGTCTCTTCCTGTACTGGGTCTTGTTTTACTTCGGTATGCTTTCCATCTTCTTTATCTTCAACATGTGTTTCTTCTTCTTTAGTTACCGTACCAATGATGGACGCTACTGCATCTACTGCTGTAAATATATGTTATGTAATAAATATCACGTCACAAGAACTTTGAAATATATATTTATTCTTCTTTATAGTTAGAAATAGGTGAATCTCCACGGTTTTAAAGTGGTTAAGAGCCAAATATGACTAACCTAATCTCTAGTAACACAACATCAATGTGACGCGATCGCGATATAGTTTCCAAGGCGTACGGTTCAACGTTGTGATTATTAATAAGGCCTCCAAGTTCCTACCTCATTAATAATGAGTACACGCGATCCTTTGCCTGGTCCGTATTACTCCGTATCCCCTGGCTCGTAAGGAATTAGACTGTTGCGGATTAGATACTCCGGTATAAAGTGGTCGATGGCCATTTTGGAATCCACGGACACGCGGATATATGGCGCAACACAATGTACAAAGAGGGTTTCTGTTAGTGGAAAGTTCTGCCTTTTATATGCGCGTTGGATGTAAGGCGTAATTAGCGAAAGAGATTGTCGCGGTCAATGAAGAAGGCAGAAAGAAAGAAAGAAATGCCCTATAGCTACTAACCAACCTTAGGTTTGGTCTTGTATAGCGTATTGTTTAGCAATAGTTATTGAAATACCACATACACACACTATATTTTTACTTTTTTGGCACTTTTATACTAGAATCTCCGAAATTATTTCTAATATGGGACTATTCAGTTCTCAAAAATCATATTTTATGTATTAAGCGTAACTCCGTCTATTCGTAGTACTTCTCATACTAACAACGAGCATGTATAAAAATAATAATACTGACCTGGCAAATCGGTTTTAATTTCCGTCTTAATATCACTTTCAAGCTTCAACTTGACAGGTCTCACACGTCTCTTTTTCAGAATCCTTGGTTTTCTTTCGACATTCTTATGGGCATTTTCATTCGGACTTTTCTGTTTCCGAGACCTCTTCTGTCCTATATTAAATATTTCTTTTATATTTAATTTCCGTTTCATTTCACGACGTTCGCTTTTTGAGCCTAAATAGTCTCTTGTGGGGTCAAAAAGGTGTGTGTGGAAGGCTGTTTGTGTGTTCGCATTTGTTGGCCCCGCCCCATACGAAATGGGCGTGGATGCTGTATCACTGCCCTGTTTCGAGCGCAGCTTATGCAACCGCGACGTATTGCACGTCCAATTGCAACCGTCATCGAAAACTATTTCGTAATTGCCTGTCAAAAAAAAACCAAAAATAAATATTTCAAATCAAATACATAGCTGTTGTAGGTATTGTAAGTAGTTGTGTAGGTTTCTCAGTCAAAAATAACTTATTTCAAATTAAAAACACACGGCGTATTAAAGTAATTATCCCGGGATTTTAAAAGCAGCAGCCTCATAGCGATAGCTCCATTTAAAATACGCCAAATCAAGTATAATTTTATAGCCTATAGCAGTCGGGAACATTGTAGCTATAGTACCAATTTTTTTTTTTTAGAAATCTTGCCAATTCCTATTCCGAACTTACAAATTCCACCTTTATAATATTAGCTAGTTATATTTTATGGAAATACTTTATAAGCACACTTAAAAATAATCCTATATTTATTAATTTTACAATAAACTTAATATTCGTATTTATATGATATTTAAGTGTGGGAGAGCCATGCTTCGGCACGAATGGGTCGGCTCGACCGGAGTGATACCACGGCCTCACAGAAGACCGGCGTGAAACAACCACAGCGTTGTGTTTCGCCGTGTGAGTGAGGTTACCGGAGGCCCAATCCTTCCCCTTCCCCTCCCCCAATCCCTCTTTATTCCCTAAATCTCCAAATCCCTAATCCCTAAAAGGTCGGTAACGGTTTGATGGTAAGCAAATAGCACCGCCCATGTATGGGGTATACACCCCCCCCCAAGAGAAGATACAAATGTGTTACTGGTCCTTTACAAAGGATTTATTCTACTACTACGTGTAAATAACATAAAAAAACTCACCATCACCGAGATCTTTCAAAATGGTAGCAACAAAGCGTCTATTATCCCGCCATCTTGCTAAACATCGCTCTCCAACAGCGTAAGTCAGTTTAATCTTCTCTTCTGTCTTTATATCTTTCGGTTCTTCTTTCAGAGAAGATATGGGCAATGTGTCCGTGACACTCTCTTCTGAACTGGGCCCAGGTTTGACTGTGGTTGAACTGCTGCTGGTTGAGGCCTCGTTGAAGGGCCTTAAGCGAGGACTGCTCACGCTTATCCATTCGTCATGTCTGTAATAAATTAAAATAAATATATTATACTAGCCTTAAGGACCTTAAGTGTGGGAGAGTCATGCTTCGGCACGAATGGGTCGGCTCGACCGGAATGACAGACGGTCTCACAGAAAACCGGCGTGGCTACATCGTTGTGTTTTACCGTGTGAGGTTACTGAAGGCCCAATCTTTGCGCTCCCCAAAAGATCCCTAGTCTCCAAAAGATCACATCCGGTAATGCACTCGTAGCTCCTGCGTTGCTGCCGGTAAGGTAATCCGCCTGCTAATTTGCCGACCTATCACATAAATAAAACAAAGCTAGCTACTCTTTTGCGGTTTCACTCGCTGCTCGGCTCGTACAAAGCATAGCGATATTTTATAGCCTTCCTCGATAAATGGATTATTAAACATTGAAGAATTGTTCATTCGAACGAGTAGGTCCGTAGACAAGCACGTTGCAACAAACTCACTCTACAGCTTTATAATATTAGTACTATCTCTACAGCTTCATACCTAAGTAGCGCGGTTTCGCCCGCTGCTCAGCTCCATTTAATCGTAGCGAACTTAGGAAAATTGTAGCTATCTACCAGTGAAAGAATTTTGAAAATCCGACCAGCTGTTTCAAAGATTACCCCCTACATACAAACTTACAAATTTTACCTCTTTATAATATTAGTATAAATTATAGTACAGATAAAAAGGTAATAAAAATAACGTTGCCTCACATTACGATTTTGTCCAGTGTCGTGGATGCGTTTACAACCACCAAATGAACATTTATATACCACCCAGACTTAGAATAACAATATGTGAACGAGATAAATCATTTTTCCGTGAGGAAGAAAAAGCCGCGGTCTTTAGAATATTTTGAATTATGTTATGATTCTCCCTGTTGATGATGACATGACAGTAATAATATTTAAAGATCAATAGCAATCATTATTACCGGGGTTGAGAAATAGGTTTTAGAAAATGTATTCATTTTATAATTGGAAAAAAAATACTGCTATACGATACGAGGTAATTACAAAATATACCATATCGAACTTTTAAAGGGAACCTGCACGGCGCTACCGTTACCCCGCCTGCTCTGAGAGTGCACGCGATGTCAACAATTCTAATTTAAGAAACACTAATTTTTACATTAAAATAACGAAATAAACCTATTAAGTATAAAAATTAAATACGTTGTAGTTTTTATAAATACCTGCGTCCTTCACGCAAAGCTTTATTACGCGTATTATAAGTAAAAGACATTTTTAAAATTATTACATTATTTCGTAATAAAATTAATTTTGAGAAACATCCATTACGAAACCATAGAGTAATAGATTTTTCCTGTCAAATTATTTGATATTCGAACCAGCCAGTATTATGGATTAGAAAGAAGTATTTATTATTTTTATTTTTTTTTTGCTACAGAGAATTTCAGTACGCCTGTCGTAAGCGCTATTATGCTTGGAGAGAAGAGAGGTGCGAGGCCAAAATATTTAAGCACTACGTTTACGATCGTTTGGTGCGAGGCTATGGCGGCAAATCGACATTAAATGCAAAATAAGATCACAGGTAGGGAAGAATTGGGTATCTATAAATTTAATCGATCCGAATTATTGAACATAAAAATCTGAATTTCTATTTGTGTGTGATATAAACTACAATAAATTATTATTAAATGTTTCGTTTTTATACCATCATAAAAATTCTCGTTATTCCTAATTTTAAGGTTTTTAAGGTTCATAAATTAACGAAAGTTAGTGCTTTTCATTAGTTGCGGTTGACGAATTTGGTATAGTGTGAGAAACAAGAGAAATTTATTTTCGGAGACTGATTTTTCTAGTGATACAGAGTGCAAGACAAAACATAGGAGTCTGTATACCTCCAGTTAAAAAAAAAGAAACACTCACTTTTTTCTATCAATTTCATAATGTATGAGAACTTCCATCTCTTCATAGTCAACTTCTATAATTTCTGCAGTATGCCATTTTTCCTCAAAATCTTTTGCTTCTACCTTTGATCCTATTGAGAGGGCCATACTACTGTTACCTGTAACCATAAAAATGTATTTAATAGACTGATAGTACCACAATTTTCTGTTAGAAAAGCAAAAAGTCTTCAATAAAATATAAAAAACCTAATTTCTTAAGTAGCATTAACTCGAAGCTTAAATACTAAGCCCCTAAATTTTACCATCTAATTTAAAACTCTTACCTTTATCCACAGGACTTAATAGCTGCTTAGTAGCAACATCTCTTTTCTTAGACATATCAAGATCTGTTTCAGACTCGCTGTGTATCACACCCAACACAGATGCAGGGTCGCACACCGACTCACTATGACATGGTGTGGCGTTATCTGCTGTGACTGCTGTGTCATTACTTTTCTCACTGATCTCAAAGTCAGCAAGTTTCTGTTCCTGCAACTCCTTCTCTTGTGCTTCAATAAACTTCTTAATAGCATCAACATTCTCAACTTCACAATCTACACTGAACCCTTCAACTGGTGCACTTATGTCTTCCATTTCTTCTTCAGTGTCAGAATCCCATGGAAATATAGAAGGGACTGCGTCTGAAATCAACTATACTGTTAATGTGTGAAATATTTCTTTAACATGTGTACCATGCAACGAAAATACAGAATAGTACAATGATAACAATATTTCCATACATCAACATTTCAGTCTAAATGACAGCAATGACAATAAGTATGACAGAAAAACCAAAGAGAAACAAATAAGAAGCAATAGTTTCTAGATTAAAAAATCTGTTTTACATTCAAAGGTGTAGCAAATTTATTTGTTTTGAAAATATGATGAAATAAGTGTGAAAAATTGAGATACAGCTCCTACGGTGCTATAGCAACCAAAATCTACATTACCATTCAAAACAACTAAACATCTACATACAAAAAATAAATTATATAAACAATAAACCATCAAGCAATAAGGACATTCTACTAAATACCTGTTTTCAATTTGTATTTAGAGTCCTTGTAGCTTTGAAAGTCATTTTTACAGAAATGCCGTGAGCACACAAAGTGTGGCATTTCTGTGTCAGTGTGTTTGTAATGTGTAACCGCTACCCAAATGTCGCGCAATGAATCGTTTTTTGGGAATTTGTGATATGTTACACCTTTATCCTCCTTTCTTGTAGAACATGAGTTACAGTTGTCAATGCAACATTTTTTTACAGCCATCCTAATTTTAATATTTATGATGTAATAAACTATGTTAAAAGTCAATTAGTATAGAGAGACATGACTCAAATGTGTTTGCTCAACAATCATTTAACCATAATAACTAGGCATATCATGTTATTTTCTTTATGCAATTATTCACATTAAGTATGTACAACGAGTTTTAATATGTTAGTAGTGCTTTAATTTTAAGCAAAAATACCCATATTACTCTATTGGTTTACATGTTTACAACATAAATTTTATATCACAAGGCTAAAGTAACTCAATGGAGGCTACAAAAATTTAGTTAGGCAGGTAAGCTTTAGTGTAATTGGCGTCCCATTTGTGCCTAGCAAATACTGAAACCACAAATAATACTATTTAACCAGAAAAAATCATCATGTGTTTTAAACTCGATATGGTGTAAGCAGCCAAGTATATGGTGAAATAATACAAACAAACAAACGATGTTTCTCTCTATACTAAATCTATTTTCTTATTGAAATCCAATTTTGTTTGGTAAACAGATACGATATTTTAGCAATAAGATTTTATAGTAAATAGTACACAAACCTGCTAGACACAATATATCGAAGAAATAACACAATAAGGAATGTTCTAAGCAACGCCAAGGTTTACTTGCTTCAATAAAAATCACAAAACTAGCTTAATTATATTATTTGTAACCAAATTATAATACAAACTGACATTCAAAGCATCACATTACATTACGCCATGATGATGACAGCAAAGACCAGTGTATAATCTATGGTAAAGACTCATCAACAGATTACCTATATTGGTCGATAATACATGGTGGCTGCAGTATATCTTGTAAAGCCTAATGAATTAATTTGTTGATTTTGATTAAAGTTTTCGTATCTAATTGACCTGTTGATTTTGTTGATCGTTATGATATACAAACAAACAATATTTGAATCTTTTTTTTATGTAAATAATATTTCTTAAATTCGTAGACAGTTTCTACCAATCTATTTTTGGCTTTTCGCAATGTTAAAAAGGACATTAAAATATTACCTGAACCTAATCTAGTCTTTGAATACCTACGATACTACCCTTTATTAAGGAAATAAAAATCGATAGCTGCCAACACCGAAAAACCAAATTACTTTTGCGGTTAAAAATGTTATTGACGTAACATCATTTGGTGAAACGACAGCAACAGCAAACAGAATACTTTTGGGTGTGACAAGGATGCCAATAACATTGCAGATGTTACAAAAGATTCCCAATGTTCCCCTTTTATTTTCGCTGCGGAATGACGTTTGACCTTTATTTATGTTGACGTTTACTATCTACAAGAATGAGTGTACGTGAAATTGTTTTGTAAAGGGAAAGCCTAGAAATAGAATAAATTGTTGATCAAACGTGAAATCTTTCTGCAAATAAAATGGATTTAGCAAAATCCTTGTTTAGTTCTCGCGATCATGTTGGATACGTGGGCCGTGAAGACCATGAACGTAAAATAAGTGCAGCATTAGCTGATGATGATCCCGAAGATATGATCGATGCAATACGAGGGCTTAACATCGCTGACGAGCTGCTTCCAGCGCCGGGTGGACCATTTTCAGCGTTAACACCTAGTATGGTACCCCAGGACATAATGGCAAAATTAGCACAACCAGAATCTGAAGGACACGGTGGTGGTCTTCCGGATTACAGATTTGACGAGTTTGGGTTTTGCGTTGAAGAAGAAGATGGACCAGAACCAAGTTCCAATAAATTGCTGGCAGATGCATTTGTTGAAGATGATCAACACCGTCTACAATGGGAATTTTACAGCAAAGAAATAAACTTTTCTGAAGGAGAAGGGAAGCTGGAGAAAACTGATAAATTGCAGAAGATGGTAAAAGATGGTGTACCTCATTCACTTCGTCCTCAGGTTTGGATGCATTTGTGTGGTGCTAATAAAAAAAGAGCTTCTACAGAAATAACATACCATGAAATTGTGCGAGCCTCTAGTGATGATGGACTGGTAACTAGTAAACAAATAGAAAAGGATCTGGTGCAAATATTACCTAACAATGTTTGTTTCTCACATCCAACTAGTACAGGTGTACCGAGATTGCGCAGAATACTGAGAGCACTAGCATGGCTATATCCAGATATTGGTTACTGTCAGGGCACTGGAATGATTGCAGCCTCATTATTACTTTTAATGGAGGAAGAAGATGCATTTTGGATAATGTGCACCACTGTGGAAGATTTACTGCCAGCATCATACTACTCATCCACATTGATAGGAATACAAGCTGACCAAAAAGTACTAAGAAGTCTTATTTCAACATATTTGCCTGGCATAGACCAGGTTTTAAATGCCCATGACATTGAACTCTCTTTAATAACAATGCATTGGTTTTTGACCCTGTATGCCAATGTTGTGCATATGAAAATTTTATTAAGAATTTGGGATCTCTTCTTTTTAGATGGTTCTTTAGTCCTATTCAAAATCACCTTGGCCATGTTAAAAATTAAAGAAAACCGCTTTACTGAAATTTCTAATTCTGCACAAATTTTTAATGCACTCTCAGACATTCCTGGTGAAATTGATGATGTTGATGTCCTGATTAAAACTATTGATGAAGTTTGTGGGGACACTCTGAGCCCAACATTGATTGATACTCACAGAAGAAGACATCTAGCATATCTTATGGCAGATCAGGGAGCCTTGGTAGGCAATCCTAGTGCTGTACCTAACTTGCCAAAGCAACAGCTACAAAGACGCCAAATAAAGAAAAGTAAGTCAGTAATACAAACAATACTATTTGGGGAAGACAGTAACAATGAGGATGCTGTTTCAAAAAATGTGAAACAAACAGAAATATTAGTTGATCTCAGAGAGGCTATTTTGCAAGTTGCTCGACATTTTCTAGCTCTAGAACCACAACTAGCTTCTGAAGTTCAACTGACAGCAGATTATACAATGCAAAGCCATGCAGCTGACAGGGAAAGGTATGTTAATGTCTCAAGAAGTAAAAGAAGACGAGCAAAAGCACTGCTAGATTTTGAAAGAAGAGATGGAGATGAATTAGGATTTAGAAAAAATGATGTCATTGAGGTGATTAGCTCAAGAGATGAACACTGTTGGATTGGTGAGCTAAATGGCCTTCGAGGTTGGTTTCCAGCTCGATTTGTGAAGCTATTAGATGAGAAAGGCGTAAAATACAGTAGAGCAGGAGATGACTCTGTAACAGAGAAAGCTGCACATCTAGTCAGAGGAGTATTAGCTCCAGCTTTCAAAAGAGTTCTGCTGCATGGAATTAAACGGCCCAGTTTCTTGGATGGGCCATGTCATCCTTGGCTTTTCATAGAAGAAGCATCTTCCCGAGAAGTTGAAAAAGACTTTAATTCAGTTTATAGTCGTCTGGTTTTGTGTAAAACTTATCGTTTGGATGAAGATGGTAAAGTTCTTACACCAGAAGAGTTACTGTACAGATGTGTTCAAGCCATCAACCTGTCACATGATAATGCACATGCTCAAATGGACGTCAAATTACGCACATTGATTTGCATGGGCTTAAATGAAGAAGCTTTACATTTGTGGCTTGAAGTATTATGCTCGTGTGTAGATGTTGTCCAAAAATGGTACCACCCCTGGTCATTTATTAATTCGCCAGGATGGGTACAAATTAAATGTGAATTACGAATCCTTTCACAATTTGGATTCAATTTAAATCCAGATTGGGAGCTACCCCTAAAGAAAGATACGCAAAATCAACCCTTAAAAGAAGGAGTGCGAGATATGCTCGTGAAACATCACTTATTTTCCTGGGACTTGTAAATATTTTTCGTCATAGATTTTATTCTTAATATTATTGATGCTATCTGTAAATAAAAATATAATTATGTACCTGTGCACTGTTTGTCTATTATATTATATCAATTTACAATTTGCTTATAAGCTAAATAAAATTTATGCCTAAAGTTTATAGTTTTAATTATCATGTACAAAGAAGAATAGATTTTCTCCTTATCACGTCCTTAGAGCTGATCCAGAAAGAGCGAAATCATTCACGCGTTCGTGAGATACTAGGCACCAGTACATCGCGCGAATTCAAAAAACGCGTGTGCACTACGCTAGATACCTTGTGGCGCCTAGTTAACGCGCAAACTCTAGAGCGAGTCCACGTATCCATGATATCCTACGAGGATATTGTGTGCAATACCTATCATAATACCTGCCTACTGCCTTAATCCTTACCTGAACCAAAACGCAAAAGTACTCACGTCGCTCTATCAGTGGCTTTGTCGGTGAGTCATCTAAGGGGAGAGGAAATGTGGTATGCTACTGGTAAAAAGGTAAATAGCGCGTAGCGGTAGGGGCTGCGTCAGTACTTGTGGACCACGACATTGCTGGCCTCAACCCCAAGCCATCCAACCAGTTTTCGACAGCTCAGCTCAGGAGAAGGCACGGCTCATCGTCGCTCCGAGTGACATGGGTGGGCATGGTCGTAGGGACGGAGAGTCAGAGGTTTAGTGCAACACTGCATCTATTGTTAATACAATATGTATTAGCATACAGCGCTAGTGGAGTGCGTGGCTTGGCCAAAATGGTTTGAAGTGTAAAACAGTAGTGTTTTTCTACGAAGAAGTCATGGCGTGAAAGAATGATGCAAAAAGGAATAGGGAGATCATAACTCCTTTAATCATCACAGCAGTTGCACCGGGCTAAAAAGGAAAGTGAATGTGTCTCTTCTTTCGATCCCGTTGACTTACGCCCGGTAAGTTGAAGTCTACGAGTTGGAGCACGTGGTACTCATGGTAGCCATGAGGAGCCATGTAGGTACCTTGAGCTAGAGTTTAAAACTATACAGTTAAATATTGACTGCACGATTGGCGCGGTGGCTGGGCAACTGGCTGCCGTGCAACGTGTCGCGGGTTCGATTCCCGCACGGAACAACTCTTTGTGTGATCAACAAATTGTTGTTCCGGGTCTGGGTGTGATGTGTATGTGAATTTGTATGTTTGTAAACGCACCCACGACACAGGAGAAAATCCTAGTGTGGGGCAACGTTTATCTTTCAAAAAAATGTGTAAGGATTATAACTTACAACCTCCAACCAAGTAAGGGCTTTGATGCCCTACCCATGGTCGCAAGATTACTTTCTTCCTTTCCTGAATAAACCAGGAATTATCCTTGGTTGGACTTTTATTGTACATAAATGGACGATTCCCGGCTGAAGTCCTTTCACTTATATTAAAGTTGTTAAACGGGTCGAATGGAAGCGGACGCATAAAAATATTATAGAATAACATTTCGTTCAAACGATGAGAAAACAAATCAAAGAACATGTACCTAGCTGCTGCTCTACTCTCCACCTCCGCAATAAATCTCATCGATGATTAATAACGCATAAAACAAAAGTTAATGAATAAAGTTAGTTATTTTTACAGTTGTAACACCAGCAGTAGTGTTCCAGATGTATTATTTGACATATTGATCATTATTTTATACTCGCGCTCAGTCTTTCATATTGGTTAAAAAGAGATGCCAAAGAGGCTGAATTTTAGCTTCTGGTGAATTTTGACAGATACGAGTGCTTTGACAGATCACGGCCTTTTTGTTTCTCTTCAATTCGTGAAGTCAAACGTCACGTGCTTGTTCTCTGAGAGCTAAGGCCTGTTGGCGACTTGCACGTCTTATAATTAAAAATGGCATCAAAGGCTGAATTAGCTTGCGTTTACTCCGCTCTCATCCTCGTTGATGATGATGTTGCCGTAACTGTAAGTATTTTTCTGTTTTTCATAAATTTTGTTTTAGGTTATGTTCTACTCATGATATTATCCGTTTTCATCGTGTCTGTTTCTATAAAAACAATGAGGGAAATGACCTAAAATACCTCAGTAGGTATTACTGTGTATGTTGATTCTAATATTTTAGGAATAAGTGTTGTAAAAATCATGGCGCGAATCTTATTTGTTGACATTGTGTTTTGTAGGGTGAGAAGATCTCCACCATCCTAAAGGCAGCCAACGTTGATGTTGAGCCCTACTGGCCTGGTTTGTTCGCGAAGGCGCTGGAAGGCATCAACGTGCGCGACCTGATCACCAACATCGGATCCGGCGTGGGAGCTGCCCCGGCTGCCGGCGCTGCGCCCGCCGCTGCCGCCGCGGCACCCGCTGCTGAGGCTAAGGAGGAGAAGAAGAAGGAGGAAGAACCTGAGGAGTCCGACGACGACATGGGCTTCGGTAAGCATACCTATATTTAAAACATAATTATGTGATATTCTTGACACTGGTGTAAATACACTGCCTACCAATAGACAATGAGCCAAGTATTGTTGTATAATAAATATTCTAATCTCTAATATTCTAATTCTATTAGGTCTACTGTGGATGTAGCTAAGCTAAATTAAAAATGATACCTATATATTTATTATATCACGGTTGGTGCAGTGGCTGGCCAACTGGCGGCCACACATCATGTTGATTCCCGCACCCTCACAGAACAATTCTTTATGTGATCTCTTTCTGTTCCGTGTCTGGGTGTAATGTGTGTGTGAAATCGTATGTTTGTCAATGCACCCATGAGACAGCACTAGTGAGAGGTACCATTTTTTTTAAATAAACGAAAATGAAACATTGGGTATTCATTACGACATTTTCACAGATTACCTAGTGACATTCTAAACAGTTCCCCTATTAGGTGTATTGTAAATGTAGCTAAGCTTAATTATAAATTGGCTACACAGATATCACTATTGTACACATCTAATTAGTTGTACCTTTCAACTTACTTAGGCTCATAAGTTGTTCATAGTCCTTATTATTTTAATGCTGATTTCAATGATGTTTGCATGTATTAGCTTCAGAATCAAATGATTGACAAACTTTACCACTGAGAAATGTCTCCAAATATTTAAATACTAAACTGTTAATGAATATCTACTAATTACTATTTCTGTATTGTTTCAGGTCTGTTTGACTAAAAAGCTTTTTGCTGAAGCTGGAATATTCCATTGTAAGCTTTATCAAGCTTATTTAGTTGTAAGACAAAAATGACTTTATAATAAAGTTTTTTTTAAACTGAATATTTTCTTGTTTAATTATGTTTTCCCTAAATGTACTGATTTTTGAAAACAACAACAAACATACATATAAAGTGATTACAACATTCAATGACTTAATCAAATCAGTTGATTGTTGACAAAACTCGACTTATCAATTGTTGTTTAAGACAATAGAAAAACATTGTCTCTACACCTCAAACACAAGAAAGATAAAATTTCGTAATGGCTAAGTCTATAAAGTAGAATGTAACAGTATTTTTATGTATAACAACTTGAAACTTTGAAACAAGGAACCCATAGGTAGTAGTAAATAAAATGGTTTGAATTAATATTAGGAAAATTCACCCCTTAAATTCAGACTGATTTACAGTAGATCAACAAATACTTTATCAACAGTTGACTATCAGTGTAATGTAAGACCAAGATAGAGGTGACCTCAATGGTTGTAGTTTCGAAAGGTTAATACTTAACTTTTCTTTCTTTCTAACTACAAAAGCCTATCCAATGTGTGATGTTCTGGGTTTTAGTGGGACACTCACACTGAATTAAATGCTAAGAAATAAAATAATCCAATTACAGTAAATGAAGTAATAATTTAATATAGGTATCTACAATACATTATCTAATAATTTACTCAGTAATCTATCCCCACATAGCTCTCTGGACTCCGGAGAGTTTATTGTAGTCTGCAAGATGCCTCCACACAATACGACTCATTCTCCAATCCTTTACAATACCTCGTGGTCTGAAAAAAACATTTACTGCCATGTTAAAATATAGAATAACAAATTTTAATTCAAATATTTAAAAGTTAATTGTCTTGTGTTGTCTCTTATTATAACAATTAAAAGGTTAAGGAAAGCTATAAAACTACGCTACAAGCAATAAGAGCCAAGCAACTGTTGTAGCTAGTAATTGATATACTTTAAATACTCTTACCTTGAAGTGATAACACATCTGTTGTTTATTCTGAGTGGGATTGCATTCATCTCAAACTTGTTAATATCTTTATCAGCCAGTTCTCTAATCTCCACAGGTAAGATGTCATTTTTCCTCATAGCGTTGATTCGAGTTCTTTCAAGATAGTTTTCAGCACTCATGCGGCGCCTCTTCACATCACGGATCATAAGCCAGTTCGCCCACTTGTTACGCACTTGTTGGAACTGAAAATATTAATAATTTTAGTTTAACATATTACGAACGTAATATTCTTTCATTTCAGGTGTAGTACACATAGTTTTTGAACATTTTTTATCGGGAATATAATAATTATTATTGTGCTGTTGTATTACTTACTCCAAACCCAGCGACATTTTGAGTCTTCCAAACATATTTTGCAACTCCAGATATATTAAGATTCATATTTTAACGCAAGTTTTCTGTAGAATTATCCTTTGAATTGATATTTTCGATAATTTATAGAAAAGCTATTTTATTTTAGGTTATAACAACCAATACAGAAGTAGGGCTACTTTTGACAGTTAACATTTGACAGTTGGTTGACACTTGACAAAGTCGTAATTCCTCTATGACCTATTGGCTTTTTACGCATCAATATATTGTACGAATATTTGCTTTTTACTCATCATTGTCACTCGTAAGTGAATTGTTAGGGTTAGGCTAAATTATATTCTCTAATTTGAAATTAGTGGCAGCCTTGTCTTGATTAAAATCTTTAGGCTCATAGTGGAATTCCATTTCAAAATATTTGGTCTTGGGATGTATGGAGCAACATTCCGCCACTATTTTTTTTATTACATGGCAACATAGTGTTTTAAGTCCAAACAAGTTGGGACGCGCACAGTGGTAAACTGTAAAGTGTAAACAAACTACAACAAAGTTATACGAGCTACGAGCCAAACTGAAACATGTCTAAAAGAGCCTCACCTGAACTTATTGATACCAGCCAGAAAAAGAAATCTAAAGAAACAGATGTAAGTAGCACGTATTTTCATGTGTCTCTGCGAGATAGCGGACTGATTCTAAAACATCCACCGGAAAAATGCACAGCTTCCCTTGAAACAATTCACATCATCCGTAATCTAAAAAAAAATCTTGAAAAGCATTTTGATTACCCAAGAAATTTGACCGATCTCTTTAAGAATTTTGAAGATGAGTGTAAAGATTTGGAAATATTCAAACATTATTTATTCCCTAATATTTTGAGGATCTCTGGAGATAGCGCTGAAGAATACCCTCTGAGCGACAGTGTTATTAAGATACTACTTAGCGTTCCAGTTATTCAGAACAAAATAAGTGATTACACATTTGAAAAGGCTATTGATTTAGCTGCTGAATCTATGTGCGGACCTTGGATACAGATGATACTTAAATGTTTTTCCTCTTTGGACAGTATTGTTAATACAGATAAGATATCCACAAATCTTATAAACCTTTTAGATGTTGCTTCAGAGAAAATGGTAAAACTGGAAATAATAATTGCTATACCTGATATTATTGGAGATCAAGAACACGACAATATTGCCACTGAACTGAGCAGAATTCTAAGTGAAGATCATGATCTGATACCTGCCATATTAGATTGTCTTTCCTACTTATGTTTATCTAATGACCAGTATGACCAATTACAGAAAAAGTCACTTAATCTTTTAGCAAGTCTGTCCAGATGTAATTATTTTCCAAATTTTGTAAAATTTCTGTTAATGCCTGGAAGAATGAGTGATGCTTCTTATTTGGAAGCCGTGCAAGGTTTGAGAAACGCTCTAGGATGGAGTGATACCATGAATGTTCAGGAGAGAGCTACAAGCCAAGTGCTCACTGCTACAGCTATAAGGAACTCTATGGTTTCATCAAAAGTTATTGGCAATGCATGGTTAAAAGCAATATCTCTATGTAAAGAATTCACACACTTCAAGCCCATTGATTTTGTTATTCTACTCATTGCATATTCAATATCAGAAGAGAAACAAAAACAAGTAGAAAACTTAATTAGAAAACAAATGAAATTGAATATTCTCAAGATAGATATATTGAACCAAGCATTTAAACAATTCATTCCTATGTTAAAGGAATATTTGAAACAGTATATTGATCTTTCCAATTCACTGTTAAAGACAAATACCGAGCCAGCTAGCAGCCAGGAGTTATTTGCAGCTCGTATGTATACTCTCTCATTACAACATTTGGAGGATTGTAGTCAGACAATTGTTGCAGGACTCCTACAGTTAGGATTGGACTCCAAGCACTGTGTTATGAGGAGTCTGAGTATTTTGAATGATACTGTTATGAGAGACATTAGTCTTTTGAAACCACAAAGTGTCCAAATGCTGACACTACTAGACAGAATGGACAGTATGTCTCTGGATGAAGTTAGAGCTGTAATGAATTTGCTATGCGCTTTAGCCTATGTTATTAGAGAGTCAGTTATAAAGGATGATCTTCATATGATAATAAGAAAAGAACTGGGCTCTTCTAATCCGAGAATCAAAATTCAGGGCATTCTGGCAGGTGTCCATGCTGTGAAGTTCCTATTATATGAACAAAGAAATATTGTAGACCTCGAAAGGCTATTAGAAGGCAATGCCGTCACCTATGCATCTGCAAGGTACTTACCTAACAGCAATCTTCGTGATGCAGCACAAATTGTAGAACTTATAAGCCGAAGCACTAAACAATTCCCTGATATTACTGCTTTTTTCTATGAGGAATTGTCGAAAGTTGTATTGCTTGCACCACTCTCAAGTCACCAGCTTTTGTCGTGGCTTACTGATGCTGTCACCAATGATTTACAACAAAACTTTATTGTTGACTCAATTCAAGTTGATACAATAAATGATTTAAAATTAACTATGCAGTACTGTTTGAATGCAGAGGGCGAAGTCGATGAGATGATTGCTATTAACATTGCTGGCTTAACTTTAGATCCTAAGTCTGAAGTGTATATTGGCATCTTGTCTCCTCTCTTTCAACTTGTCCAAACATTGCATTATAGGCAACATGACCGCAATTTAACGAGCATAGATGCTCTATTAGGATGCCCTGTTGTTATGCCGAAGTTTAATATAGACTTAATTGAAGATATGGATTCAGTAGCAATTAGCAACATTTTAGATTGCTTAATCCATTGTATAAATTGGTTCATTGAATTAGTCAACGCTTTTGCGACCCAAAATGATGATGACTTGAATGAAAAAATATTAAAAAGGATATCGCAGATTGAGGAGTTGGAAACAACTGTTAGAGAAATTCTTATAAGAAGTAAAATTTCTTATAAACCACCAGTTTGCACTTTTAATGTTAGTAAATATACTGGTGAACAAACCGAGATGAAATCTATAAAAGCACAAACTGGTAAACAGAAAGGGTCCACAAAAAAGCCTGGCCAAGATGATAGTGTGCTACCTCAAACTGTAAGGTCTCAAGCTACACAAAACAATGCCTCTATGAAAAATTGTCTAGAACTAAGTCACAATGTGCCAGTTAGACCGTTGCATTTCAATATAATCAATTTACTTAAAATTGAAATGACTGAAGACGAAGAATCAACAAATGAATTAACTGTAAAAAGTCTGATTTTTGTGTTAAAGGGTCTAAACAGTGACATAGAGAAGGTGTTATTGTCCAAAATTAAACGGAAAACCTTTCTATCGAAGCAAAATAGTGTTGTTTATGACGCTATCAAAGCTGTAGAATACGCAGACACTATTAACAAATTACTACCTCAACTGGTAGAACATTTAAAATTTGTGACGTTATCTATGGAAAAATCTATTGGAAATCTCGACGAAAATGAAGTTGAAATTTCATACACACCTGATTTACTTAATCTAATCACTTGCCTGGAGTGCATTTTCAATTTTTGTACTATTTACTTTAAATGGGTAGGCTTTAAACAACATTTTAATGCTCGTTTTCTGAGGACTGCTTTGGGTATTTTAGCAAACGAAAGTGATGAAACAGTCTCTATAAGAGAGCTTGTAGCCACTGTTGCGCGGAATTTGCAGAAATACGAAAAATATTGTTTGCAAATATCTACTGCAGTATCTCTTATAGAATTTTTGAAAAGTATATACACACATTCAGAAAGCCGTGATATTCTCAAAATTTTAAAGACACTAGCTCAAAATTTCTTGTCTCGACAATGGAAAACTCCTGAAGGAGCACTAGAAAAAGGATTATTTTATAACCAAAGTGTAGATCTTTTGGCTTCAATTTACTTTATAAGCAATGAAGTATTGGCCCTGAAAAATTTGACCCTTCAATTAACAGAAGATATAAAGTTGCTAAAAAATAATAAAAGTACTTTAAGCACTTTCAAGTGCATTAATAAAAGTAATTTTCCCATATTGTATAGAAACCTTGGCTCAGCACTTCACGATGCCACTAAAGCCTGTTTAGAGAAAGGTTTGACGAACTCAGAACATTTACATTTGTGGAAAGACGTAGCGACTATAATGAAACACATGTCTGATATCGCAAAGACCCTTGAAAACAGAAATAATTTAACTGCGTTCTTTAAGAAATCCATACCAGTTCTCAAGCTATTTATGTCACAAGGTATTCCGATTTTAGAAATCCAATTCAAAAGTGAAAATCAAGAAGTTTTAGAAATTCTTAAAATTCTCCAGCAATCAACGAGATTTTTACAATCATTATGTTGCCATTCAAGACTGAAGAAAGATACTGTATTGATGAGTAAGGTTCCACATATGAGACAACTCCTCGAAACTTTGATTTATAAAGTAAAAGCTGTGTTAGCTGCAAATAATTGCTCCGAGGCCTTTTGGATGGGAAACCTCAAAAACAAAGACATTCATGGAGAAGTAATTGCCTCGCAACAAAGTATTGTAAGCGAAGAGTCTGTTGAAGATTGCGATGAACAGTTGCCTGAAGATGAAGACAGTGACGACACAGACGATGACATGCTAAATCCCGATTCTAGAAGTGTAAGTGACATTGTATAAATGCCTTGTTGATCGAGGATATTTTTTATCATGGGTTGTACGTGCCCAACAAAATATACAACCGAGAGATAATGTAACCGAGGCGAAATGGTGCCATAATATTATGTTACGTCTCTGCGCACTGCTTTGCGAATAGAATGCGTAATGTGCATTTTAATTAAAAATAAACTTATACTAAAATATTAAATATTTTATTTCAAAGCCACATACTATTTCCGTTCGTCCACACTGTGGACGACTACTAAGAGAACGCATTAATCCCAGCCGTCCAGACCCAGTCATCTCACGTTAGGTACCGTAAAACGGCGTGAATAAATACACGAAGGGGGTTAATTTCATGTTTGCGAATTCACTGTTTTACCGTACTCATGTGAAATCTATACACATAAAAGAAAGTCGTGTTAGTTACTCCACTTATAACTCAAGAAGGGCTGAACCGATTTAGCTGAAAATCGGCAGGGAGGTAGTTTAGAGCCAGGAGAAGGACATAGGATAGGATAGAGTAGGTTAGGTAGAGTAGGGTATGTAGTGTAGGGTACATAGAGTAGGGTAGGTAGGGTAGAGTAGGTAGGGTAGGTACTCAAATGACGGGAGCGACGCCGCGGGTAAGAGCTAGTAAGATTTAAAAAAGAAAATATTATAGGTATTGCCTTATACATTTACCTATAATATTATTAATATTTTATCTAAACTAATATTATAAAGAGGTAAAATTTGTAAGTTGTATGTATGGAGTAATCTTTGGAACCGCTGGTCGGATTGCCAAAATTCTTTCACTGATAGATAGCTACAATGTTCCTGAGAGCTATAGGCTATAAATCATCACGCTACGATGGAATTAGCCGAGCAGTGGGTGAACAAGCGTGAGAGTGGCTAGTTATCATATAAATCTAAATGTTGCACAGAATACCTATAAGGTAGATAGAAGACGAATCTATAAGGGTTCCATTTTGTTGCCATTTAGCTACGGAACCCTACGAGGTGGTAAGTAACCTAGCTACATCAACATACTTAGGTATTTTAACATTATATGCCAATTATATACCTACTTATTTACTTTCACATAGGTAGGTGTTTCATTGTGGATACCTTCCGTCTAACCAAATACCAAAATTGCGTGCGTTCGTGCAGCGGAATGTAGTTGAATTTAAGGATTTTAATTATGCAGATATTTAGTGTATGACGTCGTTTAATTGTGTATAATAAAAAAAATTTTGTGCACGCAACCATTGTGGAGAAATTCACCAAAAACTGATTCCGCTGGGCGAACGTTGTCCTGGCGGAACTTTTTTAATCCATAGACTTTAGAAGAAAAGAGATGTATCCAATAATTAGTGTGTAATTGTGTATGTTTGAATAAAACTAGTGCATGCATAAACTTCGGAGAAATTCAAGTTTCCGCTACGCGAACGTTTGGCCATTAGCTAGTTTTCATATAAAGCGCTTACATAGAGAGCTGTAGATTTTTACATACGTTGTTTTGAATATGTTTATATTTGTTTAAAAAACAGATTTAGAAAAAATCGTAGGGTTTAAAAGATAAAAATATAAACGTAAAATACGCTTATTAGGTCTTAGTTCTTAAAGTATGCACTTTGGGCTCTAGATTTTCACGTTTATTCAAACCTTGTAAGTGTCTGCAACATGTTGCCAAGTATCCATGATGTTCTGTTAGTAATTAAATAATTATAGGACAAATTTACCATGAATATATCACTGTTTATATAGCAGTCAAATATCACGACTTTCTAAATGAATTGCATGGTAAAATGTATGCCAATAATTAGTGTATTCATTCAACTATTCACATGCAAAATTTCATGTCATTAAATTCAGTAATTAAAGAAAAACAATTATAATACTGACGAAGCATCGAAAACCTACATAACCCGGCCAAGTTCGGATGGCTACAAAAAAGCGGCCGTGCCATATATCTAAGAAACGTTCTTAACTTTCCAATATAGCATTTATAAATATGGTACAGTATCGTACACAAGCGTTAGGAAAAAATAAAACACAATATCGTACACACGCTCGTGCATGCCTAGTCTATTGGTTAAATAGTGTAATAAGCTACAATATGATAAATATTTACTTACACAGTGGTACATACTTACATGTGGTAAATATTTAATTTCCCTAAGGGGTCTAATGTTAGAATCCTGATCCGTGAAATCTTCAATAGAAATTAGCTGTATGAATTTTATTTGTCTTAAATATAATTAGATAGTCTCAAGCGCATACTTAAATAAAGTACCTACTTTCTGTCATAGTCATATTTAAAAAGTAGGTGTCCAAAAATAATAGACCTATAAATTATTTCGAAACAACAAGTGTGTTATCACCTGTACCAATTTAATACCGGTATTATACTGTAAATTTTGGGATGTTACCTAAATATATTGCACAGCCGCTTTTTTGTAGGTACCCATCCGAACTTGGTCGGGTTATGTAGGTTTTGGATGCTTCGTCAGTATTATAATTGTTTTTCTTTAATTACTGAATTTAATGACATGAAATTTTGCATGTGAATAGTTGAATGAATACACTAATTATTGGCATACATTTTACCATGCAATTCATTTAGAAAGTCGTGATATTTGACTGCTTTGTAAACAGTGATCTATTCATGGTAAATTTGTCCTATAACTATTTAATTACTAACGGAACATCATGGATACTTGGCAACATGTTGCAGACACTTACAAGGTTTGAATAAACGTGAAAATCTAGAGCCCAAAGTGCATACTTTAAGAACTAAGACCTAATAAGCGTATTTTACGTTTATATTTTTATCTTTTAAACCCTACGATTTTTTCTAAATCTGTTTTTTAAACAAATATAAACAAATTCAAAACAACGTATGTAAAAATCTACAGCTCTCTATGTAAGCGCTTTATATGAAAACTAGCTAATGGCCAAACGTTCGCGTAGCGGAAACTTGAATTTCTCCGAAGTTTATGCATGCACTAGTTTCATTCATACATACACAATTACACACAAATACACACTAATTTTTGGATATATTATCTTTTCTTCTAAAATCTATGGATTAAAAAAAGTTCCGCCAGGACAACGTTCGCCCAGCGGAGTCAGTTTTTGATGAATTTCTCCACAATGGTTGCGTGCACAATTTTTTTTTTATTATACACAATTAAACGACGTCATACACTAAATATCTGCATATTTAAAATCTTTAAATTCAACAACATTCCGTTGCACGAACGCACGTACCAAAATTGTATAATTTCAAGCCCATTTATATTTATTAGCTTCTTCACAGTACCTAGTTATATAGGTATAATCCCACCGTGTCCGTTACCCAGGCCAGATGTTGTCGACAATGGTCATTTAAATCTTATAGACAATTAGTTGTGCGGCTTCTGTAATTGTTGCGCACATTTTTAAATTTGTTGCGCTTATAGTTTTTTAATTATTTCACAAAAACATTTTCTGCTGGCGTAACGTTACCACAGCCAGACCTTTATATTTCTAATGGGAATATTTAAATAAATATTAGCTATAAAATTAGTTGTCTAGATAAAGTAAATGTTGTGCCTTATTTTGTATTTGTTCTTTCTTCGGTTGCGAAGTTATTCGAGATTTTGCTGCGGTAACGTTTTTGGTTTTGCTAGATCTTTGAAATGGTTAAGCGGATTCTTATCATATTTTGTACACGACTTCCGAGGACTTAGTTTAAATTTGTTGTGCAATAACAAAACCAAAATAATGCATATTTTAAAGGTTTTTTCATTAAATAGAAAAACACTTCAATTGGCCCCAGCACTCTCAATAAGAAGTCTAAAGACTTACTTTAAACGTAATTTTAAAGCTTGTAACTGCCTTCAAATGTATGTGAAGTTTCATTAGTATCCCGTAAGTATTTAACAAGTTATGATGATATTCAGTTCTTCACGAGCACGGTCTTAATGCACGCGGTGTTATTTGGCCACTGGATTGGATATGTGAACTGAATGTTATGTCAATAATTAGTTGTTTAGATCAGTTGTATATCAGTAAAATTTCAGCTCAATACATTGGATAATTAATGAGATAATACTATGAAAGTCATTAGGAAGTGAATGACCGTGGTAAGCCGACCAAGTTTAGGTGGTTACGAAAAAGCGAAAACGCAGAACATTATACTATCTTTTGAAATGTTTAGTATAATACACCTTACAATTTTGGTACAGACGCGTACACTGTTTAATACCTATATAATAATAATATAAAAGAAAACATTATCTTCCAGTTCCACAAAATTATCAAAAATCACCGCTAGAGCATGCCGTTCGGTAGGACGCAGGAGGAGTGGGGTGAAGGGGTAATACATTGTTTGCATAACGCACTCAGTCTTGCCAGAAGGTTACTTTTGTAACCTTTTAGATGATTTTTGAACTGCATTTTGAAATAGAAATGACAAGGACGGGTGATGTTTAATCGGTTGCTAAGCAACACAAGTTTTTTTAGGTAAGGAAGTAAAAGTTCAATTGAAATGATTATTTTACCTTTCAATAAAAAATCTTGAATAATCATGTAGTTTTTTTTTAAACTTTTGTACATGTCTGTACTAAATTTATAACACTATCCTACATATTTTAGAAGGTACCATAATGTTCTGCGTTTTCGCTTTTTCGTAACCACCTAAACTTGGTCGGCTTACCACGGTCATTCACTTCCTAATGACTTTCATAGTATTATCTCATTAATTATCCAATGTATTGAGCTGAAATTTTACTGATATACAACTGATCTAAACAACTAATTATTGACATAACATTCAGTTCACATATCCAATCCAGTGGCCAAATAACACCGCGTGCATTAAGACCGTGCTCGTGAAGAACTGAATATCATCATAACTTGTTAAATACTTACGGGATACTAATGAAACTTCACATACATTTGAAGGCAGTTACAAGCTTTAAAATTACGTTTAAAGTAAGTCTTTAGACTTCTTATTGAGAGTGCTGGGGCCAATTGAAGTGTTTTTCTATTTAATGAAAAAACCTTTAAAATATGCATTATTTTGGTTTTGTTATTGCACAACAAATTTAAACTAAGTCCTCGGAAGTCGTGTACAAAATATGATAAGAATCCGCTTAACCATTTCAAAGATCTAGAAAAACCAAAAACGTTACTGCAGCAAAATCTCGAATAACTTCGCAACCGAAGAAAGAACAAATACAAAATAAGGCACAACATTTACTTTATCTAGACAACTAATTTTATAGCTAATATTTATTTAAATATTCCCATTAGAAATAAAAAGGTCTGGCTGTGGTAACGTTACGCCAGCAGAAAATGTTTTTGTGAAATAATTAAAAAACTATAAGCGCAACAAATTTAAAAATGTGCGCAACAATTACAGAAGCCGCACAACTAATTGTCTATAAGATTCAAATGACCATTGTCGACAACATCTGGCCTGGGTAACGGACACATCCCACCAGTTATAAAATAATGTACTCTGTGATGTATCCAATGACTAGTATACGTTCATAATAAAAAAATAATGAGATTTAATGATAAAATAAAAATTGCGCCTAGAGATATTTTATGTCGGATCGGATACAATAGGTGGACGACTTTTGTTGAGGTACTGTTTAGGTAAAAAGTCACGGTTTAACCGTGACTTTTTAGTCGTCTATTATCATTAAATCTCATTAATTTTTTATTATGAACGTATACTAGCGTGCGTTCGTGCAGCGGAATGTTGTTGAATTTAAAGATTTTAATTATGCAGATATTTAGTGTATGACGTCGTATAATTGTGTATGGTAAAAAAAAATTTGTGCACGCAACCATTGTGGAGAAATTCACCAAAAACTGATTCCGCTGGGCGAACGTTGTCCTGGCGGAACTTTTTTTAATCCATAGACTTTAGAAGAAAAGAGATGTATCCAAAAATTAGTGTGTATTTGTGTGTAATTGTGTATGTATGAATAAAACTAGTGCATGCATAAACTTCGGAGAAATTCAAGTTTCCGCTACGCGAACGTTTGGCCATTAGCTAGTTTTCATATAAAGCGCTTACATAGAGAGCTCTAGATTTTTACATACGTTGTTTTGAATTTGTGTATATTTGTTTAAAAAACAGATTTAGAAAAAATCGTAGGGTTTAAAAGATAAAAATATAAACGTAAAATACGCTTATTAGGTCTTAGCTCTTAAAGTATGCACTTTAGGGTCTAGATTTTCACGTTTATACAAACCTTGTAAGTGTCTGCAACATGTTGCCAAGTATCAATGATGTTCCGTAAGTAATTAAATAGTTATAGGACAAATTTACCATGAATAGATCACTGTTTACAAAGCAGTCAAATATCACGACGTTCTAAATGAATTGCATGGTAAAATGTATGCCAATAATTAGTGTATTTATTCAACTATTCACATGCAAAATTTCATGTCATTAAATTCAGTAATTAAAGAAAAACAATTATAATACTGACGAAGCATCGAAAACCTACATAACCCGACCAAGTTCGGATGGCTACAAAAAAGCGGCCGTGCCATATATCTAAGAAACGTTCTTAACTTTCCAATATAGCATTTATTAATATGGTACATTATCGTACACAAGCGTTAGGAAAAAATAAAACACAGTATCGTACACACGCTCGTGCATGCCTCTATTGGTTAAATAGTGTAATAAAAAATATTGGTTAAATAGTGTAATAAGCTACAATATGATAAATATTTACCTAAACAGTAGTACTTAAGTACTTACATGTGGTAAATATTTAATTTCCCTAAGGGGTCTATAGTTAGAATCCTGATCCGTGAAATCTTCAATAGAAATTAGCTGTATGAATTTTATTTGTCTTAAATATAATTAGATTATATCTCAAATCTCAAGCGCATACTTAAATAAAGTACCTACGTAAATAATACCTACTTTCTGTCATAGTCAAATACATTTAAAAAAGTAGGTGTCCAAAAATAAATGACCTATAAATTATTTCGAAACAACAAGTGTGTTATCACCTGTACCAATTCAATACCGGTATTATACTGTAAATTTTGGGATGTTACCTAAATATATTGAACAGCCGCTTTTTTGTAGCCATCCGAACTTGGTCGGGTTATGTAGGTTTGGATGCTTCGTCAGTATTATAATTGTTTTTCTTTAATTACTGAATTTAATGACATGAAATTTTGCATGTGAATAGTTGAATGAATACACTAATTATTGGCATACATTTTACCATGCAATTCATTTAGAAAGTCGTGATATTTGACTGCTTTGTAAACAGTGATCTATTCATGGTAAATTTGTCCTATAACTATTTAATTACTAACGGAACATCCTTGATACTTGGCAACATGTTGCAGGCACTTACAAGGTTTGTATAAACGTGAAAATCTAGACCCTAAAGTGCATACTTTAAGAACTAAGACCTAATAAGCGTATTTTACGTTTATATTTTTATCTTTTAAACCCTACGATTTTTTCTAAATCTGTTTTTTAAACAAATATACACAAATTCAAAACAACGTATGTAAAAATCTACAGCTCTCTATGTAAGCGCTTTATATGAAAACTAGCTAATGGCCAAACGTTCGCGTAGCGGAAACTTGAATTTCTCCGAAGTTTATGCATGCACTAGTTTTATTCATACATACACAATTACACACAAATACACACTAATTTTTGGATACATCTCTTTTCTTCTAAAGTCTATGGATTAAAAAAAGTTCCGCCAGGACAACGTTCGCCCAGCGGAATCAGTTTTTGGTGAATTTCTCCACAATGGTTGCGTGCACAAATTTTTTTTTACCATACACAATTATACGACGTCATACACTAAATATCTGCATAATTAAAATCTTTAAATTCAACAACATTCCGCTGCACGAACGCACGCCGTATACTAGTCATTGGATACATCACAGAGTACATTATTTTATAACTGGTGGGATACATGAAAGCCCTATACGTACTAGATTCTAGTACCTACGTATGGCAACTTTTTTATACACCGTGACTTTAGTCTTCTTACAAAGGCAGCCCAGTCTCAGTGTCTGGTAACTAGAATATTCTCCTGTGTCGTGGATGCGTTTACAAACATACAATTTTACAGACACACCAACAATTCATGAATCACACAGATGTTCCGTGCGGGTATCGAACCCGCGACAAGTTTCGCAGCAGCCCAGGGACCGCGCCAACCGTGCAGTCTTTAGGTGTTGTGGGTACCAAAAGGGATAAGGTCCTTTTTAAATAAAAGAAATATGTACCGTTAAGTCAAATTTATTGATATTAGGCTTAGTACAATCTCTGGGGTGGGCCCATTGTAGACTTCATATGCAGTGAGCGCACATTTTGCCAGTGCTTCTTCAGCAGGGAGACCAGGAAGTTGATTGACAAGTGCACATTCTGTGCAAGCTCATCAGGGGTCATGTCCACATGGCCAACAGCCACAGACAGGCACAATACCTGGAATAAACATATTACATTAAAAACAATTTTTAACTTTGACAGTTTATTTGTGTCTACTTCAAGAAGTTGATGTGACACATTGCTGTATATAATTTGTGATTGCCATTTTATCAGATTAATTTTATCTTGAACCCGTTGAACGCCACGGGGGACAACATGTGGGCCATGCTAGCGGAGGATTTACCCTCAACAGCAATCTGTTGGCAGTCAATGGCTTAATTGTATAGGCAAGATTCAACAAATTTATTAGTAACTTTGTCTGCTGCAACCTTGGATCTTGTACGATAATAAGACTACTACCAAAAAATCAGTAAAACATACCTTCTTCATCTGGAACTTGATGGTGGCTTTGACTTCATCAATCTTCTGTGTCATGGACTCCTGGTGGGAGAGGAGACCAGGGAATTTACCGGCCTTGTTCAGACCAGGACCCAACAAACGTGGGATCTGCTTGATGAGTGATTCTGATGCAAGGAAAGCATCATATCTGAAAAAGAACATTTAAATTACAGTTATAGTTGGTGTTTCTGACTTAATTTTATTATATAATAATAGTAAATAGTTTTTTGAGACACAATAGAAGAACTTATAGGTGTGTAAGTGTTGGTGTTCACTTGGGGTTTGATTAATTAATTTAACAACATTGAGTTCTTGGAATAAATGGTTGCAAGTCGATTCAGGCTAAATTTTTAATTATAGGTTACTTTCGCAACACATTTGAAGCTTAAAAACTAATTGGTCATGTCTAAGCTAATTAATTTCAAAGATAGCTAGTGTTGTGACATAAAAATAAATTGCTCACTTCTTTGCTAGTTTCTTGACTAGCTTCTTGTTCTTGTTCAGTTTTTTGAGTGCCTCAGCGTCCATGCAGGGTACTGCCAGGGTCTTAGCCTCGTCACAGTGCTGTTGGTCTCCAAGAACGCACACTTGCATCTTGGGGCGGGGAATGTACTTCAACCTGAAATGTAACTTGACTATCAATATTCAAGCACATGGTGTAAAAACTAAATTTTAACGTTGTAATGGTCAGTAGTGTAAATCTTCATCAATATCAACAGATAATACATGCAATTTTAAACATCATTCAAGTGTATGGTGGCCAATATTCAGATTTAGTTGATCCCCACACAAGATAAAAAGTTACACTGCAATCAAACTACTATGGAGTGGTACTTAAATCCTAAGGCATACCTGGAGCCCATGTTTTCATCATCTTAACCTAAGTCGGTAGGCCGAAGCCTTCCTACCCGATATTTAAAGACTCTGGGTCGAGTCCCGTCGGTTTACACCGACTCCCTGTCCAGATTCATCTTGGTGGGTTTATAAAAACAAAACACATCCCACTAAAATGCTCTTTCCAGGTAAACGTACTTGACGGTGCCTGAGAAACGCTTGTCCTTCTGGGGGTCATAGTTCTTCAGACCAATTTGGAGTTCCACTGTCTCCAGGAAGTTACGTTTCTTGTCCTTCGATGCCTGGAGGACGGCATTTACGCACTCGTAAAGCGTATCACGCGATACCTTAGACCTAAAACACAGAAATTACACATCAACATACAGGTTATGTTTAAAACATGAAAGACCGACACCATGCAAAAAATAGTAAATTGAATTTGTAACTTTACATCTCAAATATAATACGCAGCAGATGTGTATGAAAAAGAATGATCGATTTATAAAATAACAAAAGATTACTTACGACATAGTGGTAAGGTTGTCCTCCCTTCACGTTGTCCACGAATTGAAAGAAGGAATTCTGTCTGACGTTGACGTTTAAGCTGTAATCTGCAGTGTTGCTAACTTTATTTTCGAAGCGTACCACAGGCTAAAAAATATTGCCTTTCTTATCACCCACAACCAAGGATCCCACAATAGAATTTACTTAACTTCGTATAAATGGAGTATTATTATAGTTATCAATTAACAATCATTTTGAAGTACACATTTTTTTGGTAAATATTATGGCAAGTTTTTTCCCAAGTTATATTAACAGTGAACTTTCAAAGATTTTGTTGTGTAGATAAAACTTTAAAGTTATATTTTATATTTTATCCCAAAATAAACATATTTTTTCTCAAATGGAAAAGTTAGTTAGCATATGTTATTGTGGCGTGGCGCGCTTCGGTTTCATAGCATGCATTTTTTTATTTGGCACCCTTCCAAATAGTACAGAATGGCTGATTGTTGCAAATAGCAATCATTCCACGAAACATCATAGGAATTACGAGAGCGTTGTCATCCTTTTGGGAGTATGAGGATTCGGGATTTGGAAAGAGATGATAGCCACACTTACGTGAAAAAGGACGCAAAGTGATTGTTACACACCAGTTATCTGTAGGGCAGTAGTTTCACTCCAAATGAGCCGAACCATTAGAACACCAAACGCTTAGAATATGTGATTTAAAATAATTGATTTCCGATACAGAAAGATGTATATGCATTTATTATCATTCAAGGAAAAATTGCAGTTTTTCATTTTTATTTTCTCCAAAGCGCAGCTCACATTAGGTCAATGGTCTCATGTATCCAGCTCTCTTTCTTTTCTCTCGTTCTTTAGTTTTTTATAAAAACCTGGATTTTAGGGCAATAAAGAACCAGAACTAATTAGCAAAAGTATATAATTGCGACGAAAACTTGATTAAAATCAAAACAGAGTTGCGTATTTATTATTTTTGCGCACTTTATCTAAAATCAAAGAATTCGGTGACGTAGGCTGCGGGTACCTTGGATTCGTTACGTACCAATCAGATTTCATTAGGGCCGGGTCGTGTAACCACCAACCGATCTGCAGTTATTTTATACGAGAAAATATAAGAAACTTTATTATTTGTATAATAAGATTTTTTTTTAATCTTGTAGGTATTCTAGTGAATACTTACCTCAAGAGAAGTGGTTGGTGGAAATCTATACATATCGCAAGGATAAGTCGGTTTGATAACTCCTTTACGTTTCATTCTGACAAATCTTTCCATTGAGCCGTAAGCAAAGCCATTTACTCGACCCAATAAATCGAATCACATCTGCATCAGGACGTTGTATCTGTACAAAAGTGATAAAGAAAATAGTTTTGTTTATTATTTCCTCATCAAAAGTTTTCCAGCACAAAGTTGATGGCCGTGATCCAAGAGGGATAAGGATGCTGCAAAGTAATACCCGTCAGGTTGGTTGCAGTTTGAGGACGGACCTATCCGTATTCTGCACTACACAAATTACGAACTCAGATTTTACTAAACATTTTTTATTAGATGCGTGAAGCATGATGAATATTTATGTGAAAGTAGGTTAGTAGGTACCGTTTCAGGAAGAGTAGAATATTGTTTAATTTTTTCCATCAAAGGGTCAACGTTTTCTTTACACATTGGTTCTTGATATTGTTCCATCATTACATCGTGCATATAATTCTGAGGACCATACATAGTAATCCCAAAGAACTCCATGATTAAAAAAATAAGTTTTCGGTTGAAAAACTTTATAAAAAGTTAAAAGTTATCAAAATAAATAATTGTGTTAGTAAATAGCTTAATGTCAATTAGACAGATTTGATTTGATTTACCCACTATATTAATCTACTCTTTGGGTTTGATTAAATACAAACTAAAAATAACATAAATTTTTAATGGGATTGAGTTCGTTAAAGGAGTTCGTATATAACTACGTTTCTCACACACAATAGGCCGGATCTACTGGCGGCGGTATATTTAACAGTGTCGTGGAGTATAGTGTCCGTTAGTGTAGTTACCGTGGGTAACGCATCATGTCACGCTTAAAAGTCGTTGGTTTCATATGGTTACAAATAATTATACTTGAGTGTTGTGAACTGAGGTATCATGTCGTGTCGGGTGCTATCTAATGTATAAAACTCGGGCGTTCTGTTAAGATACGATATATATAGTATAGCTAAACTGCTAAAGCTGCTGATTTTAAAATCCTTAACCCCCAAAAGGCCGACATCCCACCCTTTAGCCTCTGGTGTTGAGAATGTTTTTTCAAATATTGTATGAATGTGGGTGGCGCTGATTCCTTACCATTACCTATGTGGATATATATTTGATATTAAAATAAATTTATATAAAGATACAAAGTCTTTTCAAAGTATATTACTGTGTTTGGTTTTTTTGCCAGGGGGAAATGGTAAAACATTGGGTAACGTACCTATTGGTTTTGGTAAGTGAGCTAGTGTATTATAGTAGTAGTATCATAGCCAAAGACCTTGTACCTAAAACTCTAAACGGGAAAAACGGTTTATAGTAGTCTACGGTCAGGTGTCATTTTTCTATCCTTCAGAGTTAGAGTTCCTATTCCTATTTTTGTTTTCATCTTCAAATCGGAATCTACAGCTGACCGCTTGCAGGTAGTTTCGTCATCAGATTTGTATATTCTGTGTATCATACTATGACGTCATTTAACAAGAATGGAATACAATATCAAATAAGTAGTGAAGAGTTGGCTAACCATTATTTTAAACATATTAATATTTGCCGGTGTGACACACAAAAGTGTCAAGTAAGATAAATAATTAGTTTATGTTATTGACTGTACATACTTCTCCATACCTATATTTATTTGCCGATATTTATACATTTGTTTTGCAACCTCTATTGTAGTTATCGCTTACGTTTGTACAGGTGTGCACTAACTTATTGAAAAACTCCCTTCCCGTAGAATACAAGACACCATGGAGGAGGTAAGATACGACACTTACGCATGCGTATTGTATATCAGCCCTATTTCATTATGACCACGGATACTACTACCACGTATTTAGGCAGGACGGCGTTAACAAATATACATTCATATGTGTATTCCTTATGTGGGATACTTCACGTAGTGTCAACTTTCCCCACGACTGAATTACCCGTTGATCGCGAAACTACTATTGTAACAAATTCTGTAGCACGTTATTCACTCTTCAACCAGTTCAGTGACTGTTAATCCTCTTTTACTCTACATGTATACAAAAAAATAAACATATTATAGAACAGTGTTTATTTTCAAATTTTGTGTTTCTAAGTAGGCACAACAATTGCTCCTTTATAAACATGTCCCAGTGAAATAGGGCTGTAATTGACTCATCATCCTTTGTCATTTGCACTACCACTGTTAATATGCTACTGGCACATTATTCACTATCTACGCCTTGCCTGCTTTAGTGCCATCAGAAATCACAAAAAATATACCTGGTGGTATATGTTGCAATGATAAATTAAAACAACAGTAATGTTTAAGTGAAGTTTAACAAAGAACAATTTGTAAAAGAACATACGAGTTAAGAGTTACAATCATATCAAAATTCTAGTTGTATTTTAACTCTGTCTTTAATGTTGTTTTCAGCTAATTGTGAGGGACAGTCAGTCAAAGCGGAACATACCACCAATGTTGAAGAAAATACTTCAGAATGATGTACAGCTCACAAAAAAACTGGTTGAGTCTGCAACAAGGGTTACATGGACAAGATCTCTCCGCAATCATTCTAAATTATTTGAGGTATTTTATTGTATTTTCTATTTCAAAAAGTTATTTCTTCCGTGAATACACTTTCACAAGTTGGTTCTTTTGTTGTTGGTTGGTGTTCTGGATTGTATGTAAGATTTGTAAAGTTTTTTTTGTATTAGAATTGTGATCATACCAGAAATGATATTTGCTAAATAACAAAATCACAAGTAGTTTAGCAAAGTGAAGTGGCTGCCAAAGGGAGTTGATACCTATATTGATATAGAAAAGCTCTACTAAAATAACTCAAATGGTGGGACATCAATGTTATTGTAAATAACCACATTGAAAAGTGCAATTTTCTTACTACATTTACTTGAATAAATGGATGATAAAATAAGACATGTTTGTTATCTCTTTGTTTGCAGGTGTCTTGCCATGGGATTGTATGGTTGGCAGCATGGCTCACATTTATCTGGCTATTTAACAAGCCAGATCTTTATCAGTTGCAAGTTAATATGCTTATAGGTATGCCAATGTAAATATAGTTTTAACAGTATTTTGGACAATTCTTCAACATTTAATTAACTTTGACTTCAGTAATGATAAAATGAAATATCTAGATAATGCAGAGAAATTTAATGTTAACAGTATTATGAAAAGATAAATGTAATTATATTCCTGAATTAATTTCTAAAAATATTTTCTGCAGCACTCATCTTGGATATCATAGTAATAGCTGTATTGAAGGCATTTGTCCGGCGCCGGCGACCTGTACCAATGAACAAGCTGCTAGAAGTCGGACCAGACAAGTTTTCCTTCCCTTCTGGACATGCAAGCCGGGCATGTATGGTGGCTACCATCCTTATATTTAATGAAATACCTATCTTCTGCCTCCCGCCTCTTCTTGCGTGGGTAACTACAGTGTCCCTCACTAGAATACTGGCTGAAAGGCACTACATCTTAGATGTATTGTGTGGTATGGTGATTGGTATCCAAGAAGGTTTACTAATGTATGTATTATGGCTATCCCAAAGCACCTGTGCCTATGTCATAAGTTCCTTATCTGATGAGAAGATCGATGGAGGAGAATATCATGTGTGATTGTATTTTCGTCCAGTTTTAAAACAAAGCCTTGAATTCCCTTTTTATAAGACTATATGATCAAAACCAAATAAGTGTGAAAACTCTTCTCAGGCCAAGGCTATTAATATGGCAACACCATCAGTGTTTTTGCCATGTATGGATTGTTCTAACATAAAATTGAAAATGTTTATTAATAAAGTTTAATACCTAAATAGAGTTTTATCCTTAAAATCCTTAAAAAAGTGTTTTGTATCTATAAATTACGTAAAAATCATAATATACTTAATTAATACACCTAACACATTTCAATACCTGTGATGAGGATTTACCAATATTATTATTAAGTAGTAGAAGTAATTTTATATTATCTGATAATTGTGTGTTTAAGTTAAATGGAGTGAGCTTATAATATACATATTCATGTAATGAATAAATCTGATTAGCTACTACTATAGTGTTTTATTATCGAATCAATTGATACTAACAATATTTCTATGGTTGGAGTAGACCTGTTCTAGAGTGGAGACCATATCTTGGCAAACGTAGTGTAGGGCGCCCCCCAGCTACGTGGACTGACAATATCCGCAGGGTGGCTGGCAGGTGTTGGATGAGAAGAACTGAAAATCGAGTTTAGTGGTGTGCAATTAAGGAGGGCTATGTCCAGCAGTGGACGGAATCATATTCATGATAGTAATAAGCAGACAATAAAGACAACTGAACTGTTGGCGTTGTCGGTAATCGGCTGCCGTGCAACGCGTTGTTTTTATTTTGTGGTAGATCGGCAAATAAACACATTACCTGATGGTAAGCTATTGGGTAGGGCCTTGGACACCCGTAACACCAAAAAGGAGTTACGAGTGCGTTGCCGGCATTGGTACCTATTTCGGAGATTTACTTAGAGATTGGAGAGGGAAGGATCGGGCCTCTGGTAACCTCACATAAACGGCGAAATATCACGCTGGTGTTGTTTCATGTGTGGCCGTGGTATCAATCCGGTATATAGGTACGATGTCCGTACGGAACAAATATTTGTGTCGTACTTATATCCAAGATTGTCATGAAGGTATGTGAAATAAAGTGATATTTTGCCCATCAAAAATGATAACTGTGATGAGAGCCAAGTTCAATTTCTAACTTCAACGACAAAAGAAGTGAGATCTAAACAGGTGCCAAGTTTAATGGTCGGTCCTGTTAGAATACCAAATTTTAAAATTATTGCATTTTAACATCCGACTTGTTTTACGTGACGTGACTAAGCAGTGGTAAGATCCCTTTTTGCGAAGTGGCTTGAGAGACACCATGGCTTCCTCACCTTCCGCCTGACGCAGGAAGGCGGCTTCGGTAGGATCTTGTTTCGAGCAAGGGAAGGTTGCCACCAGATCAGAAACCGACCCAACATGGCCTATGGTTAGCCGGGGTCCGTCTAGTGTTTTCTCCTATCTCGTGTCAGAGTACGTACGTTTATAGATATCTAGAGACCCGGAAAGTGTCAAGCCAAGTCCTACCAAACAATAACTCGTTTAAGGGAATCGGACTAGACAGATTTTTTTGTGGAGGAAAAATCATCTCATGTCTTTCCTCGCCCAGGGTACCTCTGACGACAGGAAGTGTCTGACTCTTACTGACTGAAAACCACACTGTTTCTTCTCCTTCTCTGAGCCTGGGCCCCATTATATTATTGCAAATTCACCCGCAAAGCCGGCAATGCAAAAATTAATAAGTTTGACGACAGAATCTTAAGAAAAATATTTTTTGTCATCAACATTATGTACTTACGTTGAGAATATTTTTCAGATGTTTCTGAAAAAACCGTCTCAAGAATTATACAGGAAGGAAAAATGGCAAAAGTGGTTGCAAGAAAAAGGTATCCATTTTGAAGAGACCTGGACAAAAGCCGTTTTGTTCGGTATAATTAAAGAAAATAAAGGACAACCAACGTACGTCGTAGACGAATAACTAAAAAGTCATAATCATGCAGTTTTGAGGCTCCCACCCTATCATTGCGAGCTGAACCCGATCGAAAAAATATGGAGCCTTGTGAAATGACGCGTAGCAGAAAAAAATGTCGATCAAGACCCGAAAAAAATTGTAAAATTGACTGAAGATTCGTTTGCAAGCGTGACAGCAGAAGATTGGTTCAAACAATGCAAACACGTAGAGCATCTAGAAGATGAATATTTTAAAAACGACGGTTTAATAGATGAAGAAATGGACCGCTTCATAATATCTTCAGCAAGCGATAGCGCAACTGAGTCTGATCACGACAGTGACATTAATGTAGATAATTCAGATAGTGATTGTAGCATGTCAGGCATAACCCCTATTGATGACCATAATTATAAGATAAAAATTTAAAATGTTTGTTTTTTTACCTGATTTACTTTAATATGGCAAATATTTCATGGTTAAAACGCTCCATTTTGTCGTTATATATCTTAATTTTTTTTAACGTCTTTATAATATTCTACTGAAGTGAATAGTATTAAAGATATTAAAATCAGATCGAACCATAAATTCAACTTCATTATTTATATTAAATGTTAAGCTGAACTTTTGGGGAGTCTTAAATAGTGAAGTTGGCAACATTCTGTGACTAGACGGCAGCGCCGCGTCTGCGGGACTTCTTTCGTGAGACGGACTCTATCTATCACACTGACGTCTTGCGGTGTGACGTGTGTTTTCGGCAAATTTTTTATAGTATTGTACGAAAAATAATTCACATATTAAATTAAGAAGTTCTTAGACTAGTGTCCTCGTTTAAAGGTAGCTGGATATATAACGTTGATATTGAAGTTTTATCTTATAAGACGAATGTTTACGTTTTGGTCGTCATGTGATCTAAAAACAATATTGATATGTACACATAATTGGACGTGGCAAAGTTCTACAATATTCTATGAGTATGTGTAATTTTATTTTCCAGCACAACCATGAGGAAGCTTAAAGGTGCAGTGAAGGAAACCGCGAGACAAAAGCGAGAGAGAAAGCAGGAGTTTGCTAAAATGCGCCAACAAATACACACAGTTGTTTTACCTACTTTCGCGGTAATATTTCTGTTAATTTGCGTATACGTGTATCTAAAAACCAGGCCGACGTCGATGCAATATGCGTAACATAGTTAGCTATTAAGTTGTGTGAAAATTGTACATAGTTAATATATTGCCATGAGTTTATGGTGGTTTGGGGAAATTTATTTCAAGTATCTTTAAGGTTGTGAGCTGAAGTATATTCTACATGCTGAGGATTTATTGACACTATATTTATAAAATGTTAAAACGTGTTGTAAGACATTCCATGTTATTTGTCCACATATCATTGTTAATTTTATTTTCTCTATATTATGACAAAATTAATGTAAATATAAGAATAAAGTGATAAAACTATTTGTATCAGTTTCATTCCGTGTCCAATGTAGAACACATTAGATAAGTTTTAAACAAAAATAAATTAAAACAAAGTTTTGTGTAATAATAAAAATATATTTGTTGGTCCTAGGGTAGAGCTATATAAAATAGCATTATATAATAAACTTTACGCACATTAAACTTGAGAATGAAAAGAAAAGCAACTGTTACAGTAATAAATAAATAACTAAATATTAAACACATAATTTCTAAGTATTAAATAATTAAAAACAAGTCTTAGCTTATCACCAAAAAAATAATGTGACATAAGGTTGTTCTATAACTATAACTAAATAACTTATAGATACATATTAAATAAATAACATTAGATTTTTTCTAGTGTATTTGTAAGTAAATAAATAAATTACATTTTAAATAATCTATAAATAAAATCATTGAAAGTTGATAAAATTTTGCAAGGACATTGAAATTACTGTTTCTGTATAAAACATTTGTGTCAATACCATTTCAGTTTCCTATATCACTCACTTGGACAGAAATTGTACAAAATACTTAAAAAAAAAACCTTGAGCACGTATACTTTAAACAAATGAGTTTGGTTAACAGGCAACAGTTAATTTCAAAATACAAAATTTGCTATTTTTTTCTCTCTTTGTCCATCAAATTGGGTCTAACCCTAATTAAGGTAAAATTTTATTCTAAATAAAATTTTGTTCAATTTAGTATAATTTTATAATAAGTACAATAAGACTTTTATCTATGTCACATTTTTTCCAATTTACAAAAAAACTAATATGAGTTTCATGACAGTTTTTGTTAAATAATCTGCAAGTCCATTTGCCTTATGTACAAAAAAAAAAACATGAATACATACAAAAACTTTTTATCAGGAAAATTTCACAGCCATTTTTGAAAACTAAATGTGATGTCCTATTACACAGTTGTTTCACCCTACACGCAACTGGAACCTTTGGAAAATAAATAAATAAACTTATTTTAGTTAAACAACAAAAAACGTAAGTACCTTTGCAATATTATAAATAAATAAAAAAGTTATGCATGTGCTTGTGAAGTGTCATACACTACATTATCTACATACACAAAAAATAAAGTTCGTAACAACGCTATTTAAGCCGGCGTGGGTACATTACACTACACTCTGTGTAAATAGTTAATTTATTGCAAAAATCTTGACATAGTCAGTGATAGTCTCCTACCTGGGGGTCAATCCAATAAAATCGCGTCAACCAGGCAGATGGTAGTCAACAATATTATTAAATAATATCTGAATCGTTGAAAGATGAATATAATATTTGACCATGCATTAATTATGTATTCTTTCTTTTGATAAGTTACGTACTGTTATGAAGGCACTAAATCTGGATTGAAAATAACATACCCTTACACCTGATCGCGAAATAATAATAACTGAATGAATAGGCAAACATACAGGTGTTAGGTAAGAGTAAAATCCGCCGTCTTCAAAAAAAATATCTGTCAAATATTTACGCGGGAAAACAGCCTTAAACCATGGAGTCTAGAAGCAAGGAGTACTAACTGTCACGTCTGACTGACATAAAGTTAAATACAGCAAACACCTCAGAAGCAAGAGTAAAATGTTTTCTTGAATGAACTAAACCTTTTCGCGTGTTTATTTATATTTTTCTATTTTTAAGTGAAATTAAACTCAGTAAATGGAGTAACAATACGTACTTTTATAAAGATAGTCATTGTATATAACCCCTTTAAATAAAATAAAATCTAAGTCTTCCTTTTGCGTACAGTGATTGCATTTGCTTATTGCAAGGATTTTCCCTATACTCTTAATTTCTATACTCCGCGATCTAGAGCTTCGTAGTAGGTAGCAAACGAAACACAACGAGGCGTTAAGTCAATTAATTTTTTGTTTCATTAATGTACAACTACTTACTAACCCAGAGGATATGTTAAAAAGGTTACATAACTTCTCGTTACGCTTCATAAAAAACTAGACAGCCTTTAAAAATAAAGTTAATGTTAATAAATCCGTGCAATATGGTTATATTGCATATCAATACTGGTTGTCGACGTTAATACTTCGTTTTTGGCGGCACATGTTGATCATCCAGCCAAGGAGCCATATAGATGCGAGTAGAAGGTATAGGCCACTGATAGCGAAGTATTGGGAAGCTATCGGTAGCTTCAGGGTTTGTATGAGGACTAGTGTGAGTATGGACTGCAGTCCCGTACCAATGAGGGTGTTGATACCAAATATTAGGCCGAAGCAACTCTCGTCGCTTAACTGACCCGCTATTTTTGCACTGAAATAAAAAAAAACTTTAATTAGTGAAATCGTAAATATAGTTATAAAATCACATACTTTTTTTAGATCTAGTTACTAGCAGTTTTGATTATTTTATAGCTAAGGAATATCTCTCCAATCTCAAAATCCCTATAACACCTTATCCCCTTTTCTGGCGTTCTCCTACTTTAGTGTTGCGGGTGTCCATGGGCAGCGCCGATTGCTTACCATCAAAAGCTCCGACTGCTCATTTGCAGTTGTATCACATAAAAACACCAGGCCCGGAGGTTAAGGAGTCCACTTCTCATACATGAGGGTTATGGGTTCGAAATCTGGCAAGTACCAATGTGACTTTTTCCGAGTTATATGTGCTTTCTATGATTATTTATACACCACGGACATACGGTGAAGGTAAACATCGCGAGGAAACCTGGACTTATAATTTCTAATTGTAAGTTTGAAATCGCCAACCCGCATTGAGCCACGTGGTGATCAATGCTCTAACCATCTCCGTATGAAAAGAGGCCTTTGCTCAGCAGTGGGCACTTATAGGCTCATGATGATGATGATGATGATGATGATAAAAATGTCATCATCCCAATGGCTTCAACAGTTTTTGTCGCCATTTAAAGACTTGAAAATAATATCTATTTATATATATGTACATATAGATTAACTTACCTGGCCAAAGTAATGGAATAATGGAACAGCATGCCCATCACAATGTACCCGGCGTACGACACGAAGACGTTGTTCACGAAGGTGGCTAGGAATACTGCGACTCCTTGCACGGCCGCTACGGGAGCTGGTACTCCGGCTGAAGAATACATCGAAGCTATGAATGCACCTCCCGCACCTAAAAGAGTTTGCACCGCTTCCACTGCACCATTGTAGGCCACCTGAGAATAATTTGTTAACTTATATAATTAGCTTATTCGGTAATTGTTAAATTAGTCAGTAATCTATACTTATATAATAATATTATAAAGCTGTAGGGTTTGTTTTAAAACGCGCTTCGAATTCAACATTATTCTTTTTGTGTTGCTAATCCATTTGTCGAGGAAGGCTATAGGCTATAAAACATCACGTTTCGATACGTAAGAGCCGAGCAGCGGGTCAAACCGCGGGACAGTAGCTAGTTGTACCTATATAAAAATGAATTACTAAATGTGTCGCCAAGTAAAAATCTCTAGATGACTTGTCATTTTATTGTCAGGACAATGTTTTTAAAAGTTGTGAAGCTGTTGGGATCAGGAGATTATTTTTAAGAGTTGTGAAGTCGTAGGGAATAATATAAGGAAATAGTAATATTTTCGATGACGTAGCGTTCCGCTAGCAAAACAAATGACTGACACCGAACCGAGGTAGTTAGGCACCCGTGCGAAAAGACGACGCTAATATAAAAATATGCAGCTTGCAAATATTACGTCCTATGATTAGACATTACGAAATTTTCTTTTGGGCAATATACCTATCCTATCAGTCGCCTGGTGCAATCGTAATTACGTTTTGCAGCCCCGGCCCAGCGCAATAGAAGGGTCGGGGTAGTTTTTAGTCAGTTCGAGTCCGACACTTCCTAGGGCACCTAGGGCAGAAGGCTTAGAATCATTAGATACTTAATATTTTTTCTCTCTAAAAGAAGGTAATTTACTATGTAAGTACAAGATTGAATACAGAGCGTTATTGGTGTAAACTATGTGCCACAAATACACCTAGCTATACATATAGCAATATTTACAATCTATACTATTATTATAAAGAGATAAAATTTGTAAGTTTGTATGTAGGGGGTAATCTTCGGAACCGCTGATCGGATTGCCAAAATTCTTTCACTGATAGATAGCTACAATGTTCCTAAGTGCTATAGGCTATAAAACATCACGCTACGATTAAATGGAGCTGAGCAGCGAGTGAAACCGTGCGAGAGTAGCTAGTATTTTATCGAAAGACACAACTTTAAAAAGAAAGGTACCAAGGTCGAAAACATCTCACACTTAAAATCAGGCAGAGATTAGGTACCCTACTCACTCATATGAAGAATTTTGAAATATATAACATATCAAACTCGAGATTATCTGATATAAAGATAACTAAAGCCGAGTAAATGTGTAAAGTACATGGACTTAAAGTGTCATAATGTGGAGACAAGAGACAGACAAAACAACGTAAACAATACTAACACAGATTATAATAATATAAGACTTAATCCTTTGTTTATATTTTACATGTCACTATGCAAGTTCTGTTAATATTCCTTTACATTTTAAGAAGTATTTACACATGTAGTAGTTACACTGTTAATATGTGATGAAGGAATAGAGCACGAGATCTCGTCTAGGAAAACGTAGTGTAGGGCGCCCTCCAGCTAGGTGGACTGACGATATCCTCAGGGCAGTGGTTGGATGAGAAGAGCTGAACATCGAGCTCAGTGGCGTGCAATTTGGGAGGCCATGTCCAGCTGTGGACGACATCATGCTTATGATGATGATGATGATGATGATGAAGGAATAGAGCACCCAGTGCGAGTTGTTTTCGTTAGCACGATCAAAACGTACGTTCATGACGTTCAGCGCCCTGATTAAATAAATAAAATAAATAAAAATTGTTTATTAGAAAAAACCAAAAATTGTACAAACATAGTATTTAAGTTTGAAGCCTCCTTTTAAGCATAGGATGCCTGTATTAGGAGACTCCGCTCTTTCTAAAGCGAATTATAGTATGTAGTACATTAAACTATAGTAATCTTAATTAATTAAAAACAAAGAAAAGAGTAAGTGAGCGTGTGTGTGTGTGTGTGTTCGTGTGTGTGTGTGTGTGTGTGTGTGTGTGTGTGTGTGTGTGTGTGTGTGTGTGTGTGTGTGTGCGTGTTTGTGTGTGTGTGTGTGTGTGTGTGTGTGTGTGTGTGTGTGTGTGTGTGTGTGTGTGTGTATATATATGTGTGTTTGTGTGTGTGTGTGTCGTTAAAGTCAATGTTTCTGTTGTAGAAGTGTTTCGGTCTCGCTATAGGTAAGGGTTTTTATCCATTCTGTTAGTGTTTTTTTGCATTCATAATAATTCTTAGGGTAAATATATATGTATTTATTAATGGTATTGTAAAGCTGGGCCGATCGTTTCCGGTATTGAATACTGGCAAATAAAGTTCTACTTTGTGGTATGTCTAATATAATATCTTTTCTTCTTCTTAACAATATTCTAGAATCAAATTTCAGTGATTTGTGTTTAGAGAGAACAGCTTGAGTTATATATAGCTTCCGGACTGTTAGAAGGTCACTAATTTGATATAATTCTCCAGTACTAAATCTTCTTTTTTTAAAATACATGCACTTGATAAGAGCTCGTTGTGCTCTCTCTAGCTCTAAGAACTTTGTTTTGGTAGCACCACCCCATACTACTATGCAATATGACAATACTGATTGTGCCAATATCAAGTATAATGAATTTAGGAGGTTTTTGGTTTTACCTAACGGAGTAAACATCTTTTTAGGTATTATATGCCTCAGTCCGGAAAACCCAACTTAATTTTCTTATTCTATTTGAAACTTGCTCAATATGCTGGTGCCAAGACAATCTTTGGTCAATTATAATACCCAAATATTTGGTGTGAGATACTTTGTCTATTGCTGGGCAGCTACACTGTGTGTGATCTCCAGCGCCACATATGTGAACCTTTAGAGCAAAGTCAGTGCTAGGCTGTGTACGATTGCAAACACTGAAACATATGTAGTTTGTTTTAGATATGTTCAGTGTGAGCAAATTCTGTCCCAGCCATCTAGAAATCATAGACAACCCCAACTCTGCGCTAAGCTGAACGTCTCTCCAAGAAACACCCGTAAACACTACTGCAGTGTCATCAGCATACGAGAAAATATTTGCGTTTCGAATTCGCATGTTGCAGAGTTCGTTCACATAAACAAGGAACAAAGTGGGCCCCAACACGCTTCCTTGGGGCACTCCGTACGATACCGCAGCATCCTCACTTATATGCTGACCTGATTGGCCAGCTCCAAGTTAACTAACCAATCAAAAGGCTGTACGCGGTAACTTTTCGATCGCGATAACTTGACAATATCTTGCACTAGCCACTGTGATAAAAACTACTCAATGGATTTAGATAACATTTCAGATAGAGATTTATTTAATTTTGTTGGCATAATATGTAAATATTAGTTTTGGCGCCAATAAGTCGTTAGATGTTGCAAGTTCCAACAAGACAAATGTGATCAAGAAAAGTAACATAAGCTTAACAAAATAAAGAGTTCAAATTCTAATACATTATTTAACCGTATAGGTAAACACGACGTTTGTGTTAAAACCTAGATACCTAATTAGGTATTTATAGTTTAAAGTGCTTCATCCCACACACATAATAAAGATAGGTTACTATGAAGAGTTTTATTTGATACTGAAGATAATAGCTGTCATAAAGTATTTTTCAATTTAGCCAAATTGTTCTTTCCCTGTCATAAATGAAACAAGGAAATTACACATACGATAGTGGCGATTAGTCTAAAGGACATTTTTAGGTATCAATCTACACTGTTCCCACATTATTTTGCTGTGCCAATCAGCAAAATCAGGCAAATACATATCTACACTCGAACATTGACCGACAGACTTGGATACACTTTTTAAATTCTTATATTGAATTAATTTGTATGACGTTTTCTTGTAGTTAGTATGCTAGGTAAAAAAAGAAATTCGATGTTTCAATACAATAAAATCTTGAAAAATAACTAAACTTTTATTCATCGATCGATCGATCTATACACTACATTTTAGATATTTTTGAGCTTTTTAAGAAATAAATACCTATACGCTATTTGACACAAAAATACTACGACGTCATAACTCAGTGTTTCATACAGTATCGTTTTTGACATTTGGATAAAAGTATGGAATTTAACTAGTTGGAAACTACCGTATTATTTTTGTGTTGGGTAGTCCATTAATCGAGGGAGGCTATGTCACGCTATGACTTGACTAATAAGAGTCAAGCAGCGAGTGTAACTGCAAATGAGTAGGTAATCAGTTAGCTGTTAAACTCATTATAAAATAAAATATGTCAGTATTTTTGTTTAGTAGTTGGGACTACTATCGGCAGATTATCTAAGTCCATAAACTATTTATTCATACAGCCAAATATGTCAACCGCCATTTTCCCGCCACTTTTGATAACGAATGTTGCTCATACATTAAGCCTTTATTCAGACAGTTGCATTCCTTATCAAAATAACTTGATTTTATTTCATAAAATGCACTTCGGACAAGTACGTAATAGCAAAAGCTTATGTGACAAGATAATTTAGATTAGATAGAGCATAGTGATTGTTTATAATTGTGCTTATTATCATATTGTTTATACCTAAACGTATGATAAGCTTGTTCAGCTAGTTTTGTTCCAAATACTTTTATGATAAGAGGTGTGGCGCACAAGTTGGGAAAGAGCATCGTTAGATTTTTAAAGATTATAATTATGATGAATTTATTTCGAATATAAACCTTAAATGTATGTATCTAACATTAAGATTTTTTTCTTATTGTTAATTTTGTTGGTTATTTGTTACGGCGTAGAGAAAGATTTTAAGTTTTCTTAGTTTTAACGAGGTAGGCGGAGTATATAGACTGCCTGCTACGTTTATCGCATACATATTTAACTACCATTTTATTTATACAACTTGCCATACAAACCAGTGTAAGAGTACTCCGTGAAGTCCTATCCCTCGGCAATCCTTAAATATCCGAAAACCTAATCTCCAAAAGGCCGACAACCTACTCGATAACCAATTTAATGTTGCGGGTGTCCATAGGCAGCGATTACTTACTATCAGGTAATATGTGAGCCCGTTTGCCGACCTATCTTATAAAAGACTAGCTATTCTCGCGCGGAATCACCCGCTGCTCAGCTCCATTTGATCGTAGCGTGATGTTTTATAGCCTATAGCACTCAGGAACATTGTAGCTATCTATCAGTGAAAGAATTTTGGCAATCCGACTAGCGGTTCCAAAGATTACCCCCTACATAAAAACTTATAAATTTTACCTCTTTTTAAATATTAGTATAGAAAAATGCAGTATCTAACCTCTTGTCGTATTACAATTACTGTATATCGTCAGTGAAGTTCTAACAGTACGAAAGTCATAAATGGCTACTTTACAGGAGAGTGAAAAAACTGTTTAAAATGCATGTAACTTACGCTTATGGCCGTATTGTGTTTAATTATTAATTCAAATGAACTTTGTGATGATTTGAACTCGTGAAAATTGTAATAATCTTTTCTATTGAAGTAATTTGGTGAATTCCGCAGTGTTGCCAGTAGTTGCCACTGACTTACGCCATGTTTCATCTTAGTAACATAGTTAAAGGAGATAATTTGGAGAAGGCAAATAAAATAAAATTGTTAAAACTTGAAAGTGTTAAAACTTTATTTTATAAAAAATTTAAAATATTTTGTATTATAAAAAATGGTTTTGCTTAAAACGAATCAACTTCTTAACTATAATCAGACTTTTAAGAGATCAATAGGGTAGGGAATCATAGTACCCGTGACAATCAGAAGGAATAACAGTCTTTAACTCCTGTAAATGTTTCCATTTAGTTACTGATATTTTGATGCGACTTTGGTAGAGTTTTGGTCTAGGGGGTAAAGTTTCGGGCATTACTACTCTGCGTCGAATTCTGCGTGGCAGATCCTGATAATCTTCCTCAAAGTTCAATTTATATTTGATGACTCCACTTGGATTATACTGCAGTGCTCGTATATCCGTTACTGTAGGATCATTGACGGAGCGACCAGGCCGTATGGAGTCATACATGAACGAATTCTTGTCTGAGAAATCATCAAAAAAACTGTAGTCTAAGTATTCTACTAAATAAGGTTTTTGCGGTCGAGCTTGTTTTGACAACGTCGCAAATTGACTTGGTAAAAAGATCTCCTGGTTTTTTAATTTTTGCTCGATTGAACTATGAACCGCATCACACTCCATTTGTGTGTGACCTTTCTCCAAAAATTTTTGTTCGATAATGATGTTTTTTTCCATGGATAGTTGCAGCAGAGCATTTGATAGATAAACATTCCGATTTTGCGCCGTACAACCATCAGAATATAAAATGATTGGCATGCATTTCTTCTGTAGTGTTTTTTTGAAACAGTCTATGATGCATGATATAAACACAGAAGCAGTCAAACCAGCGTTACTCTCGTCAAACCAGTAGCAGGTAACTTCTTTGTTGGCAAGATTGTACATCGTAAAATTATGCACACATAGTTTAGTTTTAAAGTATAAAGCACTGGCTTGAAGTTGTGGACATAACTTTACGGCCTGTAAATCTTGTGTAAAAACATGTACGTCATCCAATTGACGAGCCCTTTCTTTATCTCTCACTTTCTCGCTTCTTGCCATATCTTTTTTCTTAATATGTGATCTATATTCTTCCTCTGCTATGTTGCCTACCTTGTACGAACAGCAAGTATCGCACTGATCTTTTTTAGGCGAGAACAGGCTTAGATTCAACTCATCAAAAACTCTGCACATAGTCCAGCGACTAAGTGGACTTTTAGACTCTTTTTCGCACTCTTGGATGTACAACCTAAAGAGACAGTTCTTGTTTTCAACAATCGGCTCTAAATACTGTTTTGATGTAGATGCCCTGCAATAGTGCGAGGGCATTTTTGGTAACGAAGCGAAGAACTGTTTGAGGAATGTCATGTCTTCTTTCTTAATAACGCGTTCATCATTGTTGTCGTTTGGTCGTGGTGTTGTTTCAGCAATGCCATGTTCAGATCTATCGACCCAGCACCTAATAGTCGACTCTTTCAAACCCAGAGTGTTCAAAAAGGTCTTCAGACAAACTTGGGTACGTCCCTCTGATGTACTGAGAAAGTACTGTTTACTCCCACTTCTACGAGAATTCGATTTTACTTTTATTTGCTTTTTTTCACAAACGGAGACGTGAGATACAACATACTGTTTCCGTTGCTCCCAAGTCATGCTTTTCCAGAACTTGCCAAATATGTTCTCTCTTTCGATGTCAGACAAGCTAGAACAGCCACGTAACTTAGACTTCGAACAAAACAAAGAAGTGCAACGTGAACCAATTGAACGTGCTGGACGTTGCACATCATGGAGTACTTGAAATTTCTCTTGCCCTGTAACTTTCCTGTCCCTACGGTACCCCACATATTCTTCACCTAGCATACGTTTCAGTTTTGTTGTGTTTTTATTCCATTTTTTAGGTTGTGCGAATCCCTTCGATTTCCTTTTTCTATTAGAATTTATATGTTCCATCTCACTGTCAGACGGTAGCTGCTCCAAGGTTGATGGAGCTGAAGGTAGGAATGTTCCTTCAATGTCATTTTCAGGTGGTTTTGTCGCTTCTAATGGCGGTGAAATCGCAACAGGGGAGGGCAGAGGCTGCAATTCTTCACTTGGCTGCAAATGTATTGTGGTAACTTGTTCAGATGGAGAAAGAGGTATGGCATCCTGAATGTTTTGAGGGCTCAATAGGTCCAGCAAAGGCGGAGATGGAGGCTCGGACACTATTTCTATTGGTAAGTTATTAATATCGATATTTTCTAAGTCAGTCAATGTTACCGGTAATATCTTCTGTTTTTTCATTGGAACTTGTATCTTTAAGTCGCTGCAAAGAATCAACATTTCATCATCAAGTTCCTCGCCATCACTTGATAGATAATCCATCTTGTGTGTAGACAAACACCTTGTAAAAAGAAAAAGAAAGTAGATAAATGAAATGGAAACACAGCGTATCTCATGAAAAATATCACAGTAAACACTGCGTAAGTCACGACTACTTTTCGATTAACATTAGGAGTAACTAATAATCGTAATAATAAATAAACACACTTGTTTTAACAGTTAAACTATGACCACATAACATTAAATCGATATAATAAGGAATAAAACATAGAGGTATATTGCAAATAATACCTTAAATCGAAATCACAACATCGGAGAACTTGATGCACGACGAATTTGTACGTGAATGGCTGACATACGCAGTGTTGGCACCACCAACTGAGATACGCAATGTAACTATTTTTCAAATAACGCGTTGTGATTGGTCAGTTATCGTGTTTTGAATGGTCGACACGACGCGCGCCACTATGCTTTATCCAATGACATTCAAATCTCTAAACACTCACAAAATGACTTACGCACTGTTAGAACTTCACTGACGATATATGATATCTTTATGACTTAATCACTATAAATAAAACCTTATTGGAACTCACCGGCGAATCAGTGTCCTCTTGTATCTGTTTCCATAGCAACTGCATATAGATCTGAGCTTGTACGAATAGTGCGAGGGCGACTGCGTACAATGCAGACCAGGCTAGCACCTTGGGTCTGGTGTACGCTGAGCGCGCGTGCCGTGCTATCAAAGTGGAGGCTTCTACCATGTTAGACCGTAGTAAGTGCTGGAAACCAAGATATAGAAATTAGTGTTTATTTTTACATAACAATGTGTGCGAATCTTCGACTATTGTACAGAAATCTCTAGTTTGGGTGAGCTATGCTTAGGCATGAAGGGGTTGGCTCGACCGGATTGATACTACGGCCTCCTAGTAAACGGGTGTGAATCAATCACAGCTTTGTGTTTCGAAACGTGAGTAAGGTTACAGGAGGTCCAATCCTTTCTCTCCCCCGTTCTTCCCCGATCCCCAAACCCCTATCCACAAAAAGCCGGCAACGTTTTAGCAATTCCTCTGGTGCTGCGTCATCATCATCATTCATCCGGTAATAAGAGCGCACGTTTACCACCGTATCACATACAAAATAAGTTCGGTTGGTTGGAAAACCAAGTGCAAAAAAAGCATTAACTTTTTCTACACAATTGAACCCTAAAAACAATGTTCTGCAGATTTATTTTATCGAGGGTCATATGTTTCGTGACGGCACAAAAATGACCCCCTTCAGGAAGCACTATACGATGTCTAACAGAACCTAGATTAATAAGACGAAGAAGCCTAGTTGGACATGTATTATCATCAGTCATTCATTTATTCATTCGTTGGACATATAATATTATACTATGTATAATTTGATAAAATTGTATGTTTACTCACCCCATTAGATGGATGTAGATCTTTATCTAACGGGGGGTTTCCAGTGGAGGTCTTCCGATGGAAGTAGATGCCGTACTGCACGGTGGGCAGCCACAACGCCCAGAATGTCGCCATGATCTGAGCTAAGGCATTACAGTGTTACATTCATGGTACATTAGCCCACTACCTAACTAATCCTAGATGATAGTCACTCAGAGAATATTTTATTTGTTTTTTCTTCTATTGCTTTAGGAAACCAGACTTGCTACAAGTCTGGCTTGTTTGGCTGGCTGAGGTTCAAACCGAACCGAACACTGATCAATTGGCAAAGTATTTGGAGGATCTTAAGTCACTTAAGTTCTTCCGAAATATGACAGAGAACTCATAAGAGTAGGCCGTTGCTCTGCCTATAATAGAGCATACACATCATATTATCATCAGCTTATGACAAGACAAGGTTTGAGCATTACCCACTACCTTGCTCAAGGCGGATTGGCGATTCCAAACTTAAGTCTAAGTTGCCTTTCGATGTTTTCCTTCACCGAATGACAGTGGTGTCTAAATAATAATAGAAAGTACATATAACTCGGAAAAGTCACATTGATACTTGTAAGGTTTTGAAACCATACCGTCATGCATGAGAAGTGGGTGCACCAGGACTTATAGACACAAACAAAATAGCACATAAGGTCTTAATTCGCATGTAAAAGATTAAAGAAAGCGTTATACCTGCGAAGGTGATGTAATTGAGATCCCTGTAGTCCATGACCCCGAAGTGTGTGAGTAGTTGTGAGCTGACTCCGGACAGGAACCGACCTGACAGCGCTGCGATACGGGTATATGAGGATACCCTGGGGTATTTTGCTGGGTCCACCTTGAATGTACGGAGCGGAGTGTTGATAATTGACAGACATATTATATAATGTGAAGATGTATAACTAATATAATGCCTTTATTCTAGCTTCATGCTCATACAATTCTATGTTTCTTTTAAGAAAACGTAGACGTCATTGGGTTGCCTAATTACCTGCCAGGATTTTACCAAAAAAAGAATAATATTGGCATTTGTTTAGCAAGGGGGCTCGAAGGGTTTGCGTTACAATAGCATTCCATAACATTTACATTGTTTTTTTTAAATGCAAGGATAGCAGCAATACATTAAAATTCCTTCCTTAGTGCTTTAAGCTAAAGGTTGTATATAAATATTACTTGAGCCCCATGTTAAACAAATATGCGTCGACTCTACTACTTCAAATATATATCTTGGTTGCTGAGCTCCAAATTATTCGTTCCAGACAAATGACAAACAGTCATAATGTAGGTACACATTGTAAATACTAAACGGATAATTATGCATAATCAAGTGATATCTTTCAAGCCGTCTCCGGTTTTATGAAATTTGATACAGATAAAGAATTAAGATTGTTGGTGAGATTAGTTAATTTTTGTCTGTCTGAAAATCAGATTATGTTACGGCACGTGTTTTATTTCCGGATGGATCACGCATAATGATGATCATAGAATAATCGGCACAGGATGGCTTATAATTAAAATACTTCAGTTTTCTATTCAATCAAAGAAGTTTGGAAATTTAGTGTGTATGTGGAACAAGAGGTTTCGCTAAAAAGAGGTTTTTTAAAATATTGTAAACAGAATCTTTGTCGTATATCTAATAATGTCTACTAACACTGGTTTAACAGCGGGTATTCCAGTTTGCAACTAGGCCTAGCACCAAATATATACATACGAGTATGTAGTTGCAAATGTCAGTGCAGGTGAACATTTATGGCACGTCTTCAGAGAGCCCAGTCACAGTTTTGAAATATTAAAGACATCACATGTAATGTTTTTGGAACATTTGAACTATATCTTAGTGAAAGGGGGCTGTTTGACTTATTTATATTATAGGACGACAAACGAGCAGACGGATTACCTGATGGTGAGCAATCGGCGCCGCCCATGGACACCACCAAAGGAGTTACGAGTGAGTTGTCAGCCTTTTAAGGATAAGGGTTTCGGATAAAGGACTGGGAAGAGATGGGGGAAGGAGGAGGGATTGGGTCTCCAGGATTGACTTTGATTAACACCTATGTACTTTGGTTTAAAGATTAAAGACTATCTACTCGCATGAGTAAAAACCGAATATGACTTATTCGATCCTAAAAACTTCTAGAAGACTTTGTCTTTCCTTCTTTGCTTTGCTCATCAGTAGCACTAGCGATAGCGAACACCATGTTAAGTATTTGTTTTTTATCCAATGACGTAGACAACTGCGTCCGAATATCTATAAATAGCTTACCTTTGCGTAAATATAAGTGTAGTAAGCGACTTCCGTGGCCATGTAGAGACCGTAGAAGAATTGGGACGCCTGCAGCCATTCTAGACTCGTTGTCCAAAGCAAGATGGCGTATACTGCTATACCACTTAAACCTGTAACAAGTGAAATAGGCTGATAATGTTTTAGCCTACAACAAAACATGAGGTTAACGATTTGCTTGAATGGGAATAATAGAAGGAATAGTTTGGCGAAATCATTTGGCTATAAAGATGTCTGTTTCTTCTAGAAAAGATAGGCAGAAGTGTATTTAAAGTAAAGGCGTAATTAGAGTATGTCCTCTTTGTTTCATTGTTACCCTCATTTTGTTATAGAGGATGAGCTTATTGGCCAATTATTGGCAAACAAACCGCATTTGAAACTGCTAAACTAAAAAATATAAATCGAGAATTGCAATAGTACCAAGTTATTTTGGTCTTTCCGACGACTGACTATATTGCAAGACTTCTGTACGTACACCAAATAAAAAGAAACAAATGGCATCTTTTGATTTAACTGCAACCACCTACAGACAACCTTTGGGCGGAGAAATAAAGAAATACACGAAAAGGGAAGGCCTAGCTTACGAATATATTAGAACATGTAGTACCTAGGCACATTGAAGTCTCCTATAGATTATTAATTACTTATTCAGAGTCAAAGTCAAGTATAGAATCGTTTTATTTTAGCGAAACAAAGATTCAGTTGTGGCGATACATCATTCGGAGACCCGGTGCTGACACGTGCCACTTGCACATTGATAAATTAAAGTATATTAACCGACTATTCTGATCAATTAGATCGGTTGCCAGTGCCTTGATTTTTTTATGAATAAATTGTCCACAATTATCAAGTGATCTCAAGTCTTTTGTCTAGACATTTCATATCTTTATTGTTGTTTCAGTTTATAGATAAATCTACCTACTACTAATACCAAATCCGCATGCAGTATGAGTGATAACTTTTTTATTGAGTAATTAAGATAAAGCAAAGGAAACGTGTTTTGTTTTCGGATGTAGGTAAGACAGATTAAATATGAACACTGTAAATTGTATTTTAATTACTGACGTAGGTTGCGTACAAATAAGTAGTTATTAGATCATCGTAGTTTTGTCACTAGTTGGTCGCCAACTTATGTACAAAAATGTTTTACATAATGGTGTTTCCATTTAGAATGAGTATAAATGAGAATACTTTTCTGAATGAAGAATAACGAATAGAAATACTAATTTTCGCCGTAAATTACGCTTTGAATGGGTTTTGATTTGGGAATTGTTTCAACCAAGATAAACGTCTAGATACGTCTTTTTACTAGACGATTATTTATAGATTTCGAACAGTTGCAGCGGTATTTGTGGCTGCAAAACTGTGTAGGTTGCATAAAATATTTTTTCGTTGCGTTTTTGGCACCTTTTGTGTAACACGTCGAGATTGGTGCTCCTTAGACACGTGCCTGAGTCTCATGATTGGAAACACTGTATAGTGTAGTAAATTATATATTTATTATTATTTATAGGTGTCTCTCTTGCTACACCTGCACTTTAATGGCGATGACGTCATTTTTTTTGTCTTGCATCCTTATTCTTCGTTCTAACTTTGTTATATGAGGACTAAGGAAGCTATGGTTGTACGTCGCGCAGTTATGAAATTAAATAAGTTATTTGAAGATTATCTCACCTGTTGGCAAATTGGTAATGGTAAGTGTATCAACAAAGTTTAGCTTTGTAGAAGCCGTATGATTGAGCGAGTAGTCGTAGAACCATATGGCCCTTAGACTAGTAAATGTTCGATTAGATACTGAATGTCAGGTCAATGCTTCACGTCGTAATTTATGAGAGAGCTCGAAAAGACAACTGCTGACAGAGTTTTGATTAAAAACATGATTATTAAATTAAATGCATCATGTTATCAATGAAAGCTTTTGATTTAATGCTTTCCACCCATCAAGTAAGTATTAATACGATGAATTGTTTACAAAATACACCTAATTTTAGAGATCGATATTTGTGTGAGGTCAAGGGAAGGGCAACTGATAGCTAGTTAAGATAGGTCGTGTTCTGAATTTGTTGACATAACTCGCGAGTTATTAAAATTCGTAATTAACACGTTCTTGAATTGATGTGGAAAGGAGTGCTTATTGTAACAACCACTTTTAGCCAATACGGTATCAGGCAGGGTTCCGGGTGCAAGAGTAATAAGGTACCGCGACCAGGTCTGGAGCAAGACAAGGCACAGTGTGGTTTTAAGTCAGTAAGAGTCTGTCTGACACTGCCTCTCGCCTCACTCAGGGAGCGAGAAGTAATTTGATGATTTTGCCCTCCTCAAAATAAGACGCAGAGTAAGGTAAGAAAGTCTGGCTAATTATTATAAACTAAGCAATAATAAGAATTTTCGACAGTCAAAGGTATTCAAAATTATGTATTTTTAAGAGTAAACTCGAGCTTGTGACCTCGTGCTTGGTTGACACGCATGTGATCACTTGATTGTCATTAATAAACCGTTACTCTTTATAATAATTTTCCTTGTATTACAATATCGATACCTAACTATCATAATCACTTTATATCCCAGTTAAGTAGTGTTCTATCGATGAAGTACCTCCCAACTCCAAGAGTATTATTTGTTATTAGATTTTCGGGATTATCGTTACCGTTTTCTTCTAGGAAAATATGTTTGGAAAAACTCGCGCCCTTTTTTAAATGAGGCTAAATTCGTCATTAACATATATAATGTTTAAAATTTCATAATTTTGATAAAATATTTAGGTACTTTATTTAACATTACAAAGGTAAGGAGTTTGTTTGTTTTTTCGAAGATTGGCATCTTCGAAACTACTTTCGAAGACTCCAATTTAACTTTCGACAATGCTTTACGCTGGCACTGATACCGGGAAGCTAAGCCGAACAGCGGGAAAAACCACGTGGATTTTTATAAACAAAAGAATCTGAATAAAAATCTACTGTTAAGTATAGAATGTTGCAATATACCTAAAATTAATATTTCTTGCAAAAAGTTTCAATTGGACCTGGCTGTAATAGGTCAATAAAGATGTATGTATAATTATCAACCATGGAGTTGCGTAATTAGTTAAAGACTGATAACTTTGATTCCTCATTGCATTCGATCATCATCTTGTATCATAGAGTCAATATTGAACTAACTCAAACATACATATTTCAAACAAACCTTTTTAATCTTGCTTCTTATTATCTACAGTTTTTTTATTTGCTACTGGATTAAGAAATATATGCAAATGTTTGGATTGTGTTCTCATTTTCTTTCTCTGTTCTGGTGTACTATTTTCTATTGTTTTTTATTGTCCTGTACACTATTTGTGTTGAAATGTAAAGTATTAATGGATTACTTGTACTCATTTCTACCTATTTAAAAACTATCTTTCTAATTATTATGATAGTAATATTTTTTCACATAGGTTTCTGTTTAGAAATAATATGTATAAGTAAAAAAAGTAATATGCAAAAAGTGTATACTATTTATTTGCTAATTTATATTTTTCACTGTGTACCAAGCAACCTAGTTTTTGTGACATAAATAATAATATGTTGACAAGAAATATTTGCGATGATACAAAAAAAAAGAGGAAATGCAACATTAATTTTTATATGATCACCTTTTCTCTTTTTAAGCTTATTCATGCAAATAAAGGTAAATATATTTTTTTATAGGTATTAATGGTAAATACTTTTTCCTTGATTGTGCACAGGTGGTTACAAGATTGTTAAACATAAAAAAAATGGTTTAAAAGGTTTTACTTTTAATATTTATTACTAATTCCCATAATACATTTTTGACACACCATCTGATAAATCCTCAAATCTGCAGAGATTTTAGAATTTATTTAATATGAAGCAGGTACTTACAATAACTAATGACTAAATTGATGTCAAGCTTAAACAAAACTAGTAATTCATGATTTTTAATGCAAATAGTTTTGAAATAATATGAGATTACACAGTTAAATCATGAATGAGTTAATTGTAATCAAATTTATTATTTATGGATTCCATTCAATGCAAGAGTAATATTCTGATAAGGATGCTTAAGTATATTGCAGTTGTTTAATGAAAACTTAATTTTTTTATTTCATATGTTATCTTTTATCATACTTATGTGTTAAATAACTTGATATATTTTTAATATAGTTAAAGACAGCAACTTCTTATAAGTCTTTAGAATTATTTACAATTATGATTAACTTGTTTGAGAAGTCTAAGTTTAAATAAAAAATATAAAAATTAGCTGTACATGTAGGTCAATGACATCTAAACAAACTCATGCAATGCACAATGTAAGTAAAGCAGTCAAAATGTAAACTTACCAGACAACACAATGACAGGCTTGAATCTCAGGAAATCTGTGATGAGGAAGACCACAACAAGCAGCCCCAGGTAGCAGTATGTCCCTACAGGGTACACATCTCTGTTTAGTTGTTCCTCAGTTATGTTCCTCCACTCTCCCAAAAGAAATTCGGAAACGAAAGGCTCTGACGGTCGAATCTCCCGAAGCAGGCCGACAGCACATAGCATAAGAGTAACTTGAACCCACGGTAACATCTTATGGCACAAATTTATGTAATAATTGTGGGAAAATGTGCTCGCGTAAGTTTGCCCTTGACCGCTGTGAGCGACCGTGCAGTGTGTTCACGTGCCGCGTAGAGACTGATGAGGCGGCGCCGCGCTCGCCTCGCTCTCGCTCCCTGCATTTCTCAATGACGGTCGTTCTAACATCAGCCTTTCGCGCCAATTCTACGCACTGCCGAAACTCACTCTTTCTGTTTGAACTTCTATGCAAATATTGTGCGTTACAGTATCCTTCAGTCTGACGTTACATAAGATTTTATTCGATTAATATTTTTTCAGTTACGTGATCCAGAGTGAATTTCAATTCATTGCAGATTTTAACGTTTGTTTGTTACATTTGTTTTATTTTGGGATAATCACATGACGCTATTAAAGTTGAGGTAGCAATGTAGCTGGTTACAGTGGTTATAGGTTATATCACGATCACAACAACTCAAACGTCACAACACACCGTCATGAATGTCAATTATCGTTTCGTTTTACGTCATCACTTTATGAAAACGTAATGGAATTTTAAAAGTATTACTATAATTACATAATAGGGATTCACAAGATAGTGATTTACATAATAATTCAATGTTTTATTTTATGGGTTTATTTACACAACAATAATATATCTTGCGTAATAAAAAAATATGTATTTTAAAATATTCAACCTAGTTTCATTTCCGAACGAAATTTATCAGCTGATTACAGCACTTGACATTTGGCAGAGCTGGCCTAAAAATGTGACATATTACTGTCATTTTACGTTTGTGAGTGTTTTGGTTTCGCTCTGCATTTCTTATTAAAATAAATTGTGGATTTTTGTCATAGATATTTGTTTAAATGCATAGATAAGGCTAGGACACGTTACTTTTTTAGATATCCCCAAATAAAACATATTACGTAATTACTCGCTGCAAATTAGCGTTATTAGCACTTTGATCATAACTGCCTAGAGTGATTTCTTACTTCAAAATGCCTGATAAGACAATAATATTGAAATGTCGGCACTGTTCGAAGAGCTTCAAATACGATAGTGAGAGAAGGAGACACGAGCAAAGCCATAGTCCCCAATTTCAGTGCAAAATCTGCAGTAAAAACTTTAGTTTTATGTAAGTATGAATTTATTTTGTTCACTTTGGGGAAGCAATATGTATAAAATCAATACATTTATCAGTGTGTTATCTGTAATGTAATGAGTCATTAAATTATCTTGTTCCTACTTGCAAGTTAATATCTGTTGAGTCGTTGAGTCCATGTAATCCAGAATAGGGTATATTATTACTAAGTAGACTTTATTAATAGGCAGGACCTAACTAATACCTTTTAAGGAAAACGTATATTAAAAACGATGATTATACATGTCACTGTTTCAGATCTGCACTCCGTCGCCATGAGAAACAGCACGAGAGGACTGGCACCGTGCAATGCACAGAATGCAGCAGAGAATTTAGAGACAACATACTTCTTAAAAGACATATCAAATATGCTCATGGAGGTAATACCTATAATTTGCGAGTACCTTAATAACATCTGCGAAGACTGCTTAAATTAAGAGGTTGCTTATAACAGCTGAGTAAGGGGTAAAAGATTGGTTTATTAGACCAAATTTCTCATTAGCAGCAAGGGGCTAGAATTGGGTAGTTTTATTACACAATGAAAATAAAAACATTATAAAATGTTGCGATAAAATACATGATTCACATACCATCCTGATACTCGATGTGTTGATATGATGTTGGGAAAAACCTACAGCTATTTGTAAAAGTATCTGACAAGCATGACTATCTTACTAGACATATAAATAGATTAAGTCAGCCTTTATTTAGATTAGCAAAAGTGCAAAAGTCGTTCATGGGATTATGTGTTAAATGTTATAATAAAATCCCAACTGAAATACAAAATCTTAATGAAAGTAAATTTAAATTATGTATAAAGAAAGTATTATGTAGGAAAGCATACTACAAACTAAATGATTATATAGAAGATAAAAATGCTTGGAGGGTGGCTGGTTTGACTGCACAGGATAAAAATTGTTAAGGTTAAGAGGAATTTTGATCTCAATTATTAAATTATTCACCATGTTGTTGATTGTTGATAAACTGGATTTTTGTAAATGTGAGAGCCCTGTAACTTATTATAATTGAGTTAGACTTATAGACTTATAGTATATTGGTACTTGTGTCAGTTGGGAGTTGTCATGCTCACTCAGGAGTCTCATTGGCGGTGGCACGGGCACTGGACCGCTCGGTTCCCTATAATATGGTTGAGTTGGGCGGTGCTGGTGTACGTGTCATGTTCGTGAACGGACGCCGCCTATTGGGACTGGTCAACTCGAGACTGTCTAAAGTTGCTGTCCCTGAGGGTTATTTCTTTTTCGGATACTTTGATTAAACACTAGTGTTACACTGTTCTCACATAATGGAACTATCTAAATTATGTAACAATGCATTGTAAAAAGTGATTGAAAAAGAGTAACCATGGAGTTTCTTGCTCGTTCTTCTCCATAGGAATCTACACTTTGGAACGAGCAAATAGCTTCACTAGAGGAGAGACGGACAGACTGACACATAAAGTTAAACCTTATGATATCTTTTTTGCTTGACATTCAAAAGTGCCTTTTTTGGTCTATTTGAAATAAAGAATTTGATTTGATTGATTTGATTTGATTGATTTGACTCAATATAGTAATGTATCAAAATGTTAAAAGCCATGACTTCTTCATGTTAAATGGTTCGTTAAAATTATTTCAGGGACCTACACATGTGCAAAATGTACAGCTGTATTCAGCAGTGAACCAGCTCTTAAGACTCACATGAAGACCCACAGGTCACAGTCGGAGAGACGGTACCAGTGCAGTTTCACAGGCTGCTCAAAGAAATTCAATTTTGCACATCACTTAAAACATCATGAAATGACGCACACAAACACTAAACAGCATTTTTGTAAAATTTGTAATAAGGGTAAGTTGTCTTTTATTTTAATTTCTTAGTTACAGTAAAACATATACTAGTTACATAATTGTTAATAAAAAAATGCAATTAAACCAAGTAAGAACATACAGCAGTCCAGTATATGTTACAACTGTCGATTAAAAAATAGAGACCAAGAAACTATTTATGTTTTGTTTGAGTTGCATACCTTTTGCTTGCTAGCTAACTTCCAACTAACTCAGATCAAGATGTTTAAGTTAATGTTATTGAAAAACTGTGTTTATTAAACTTAACATAGTTATTATTCTTTATTACCTCTCTGTGACCGATTATCTGAATCAATTTCGCTCCCAATTTATTCCGATAGTCGGCGATCTACTATACTAGTTATGCGTGCAGCATCATTTATAATATTACAATTTAAGAAATATCGACATTATTAAGATGGAATGCTTTATTCTTGTAAGTATTTAACAAGAATATCAAAAATGAAGTGTAAATTCACTGGTGAGAATTGTATTAAAATTTGTTCAGTAGTTTTTAGCTTGTTGCGAATAGACAGACAAGCATGCATAGAATCATTTTTATCATCCTCTTTGGTTACTACCGATCATTAAAGCTTTCGATTCCCTGGTTAGGCAAAGGGCGCCCGACTTAATTCAGAGTCGGCTTTTCTAGAATTATGTAATGGTTTTTAATTTAATTCAAAAGTATTAGTAGTTTAGGAAATTGGTTGGCACCTAGATAAAAGTGATAATATAAAAAAGATAATTTAAGTGATGATATGATATGACGATTGATTGTTAATATTATTACTTACTTTATTTTAATGTTTTAAGGTTTCATACAATCACATCATTTGAAGACACATATGAAGACTCACACCTCCGACTCCTCACTGCACTGTCCCTATGATGATTGTGGAAAGACATTCTCCACGGAATACGCTAAAAAGCGACATTTGGCTAAATATCGTAAGTATCCGTAAAGTTAATATTATTTGCTCAACAAACTTAAACCAATAATAGGGGAGATGACCTTCAGTTTTATGCATCCAACCTCTGCTAGTCTTGAAGTGCTGATGATGATGATGAAAAAATCTTCATCTTACACTTAATTTAAAATTGAATAGCTGTTCGTTACTCTAGCGGCCTCTAACTCTGAAACGGCTAAGCCAAATTTTGCATGAAAAATATTAAAAAAATCTTTTTCTCCTACAATATACTATGTATAGGGTACCTATGTAGTGTAGACATTGGAAAAGCATCAGCATGACTGACATTATTAAACTTCTTGAAACGGCACGAAGTTCGTAAGGTCAGCTAATCATAAATACATACAAAACCTATAACTTCAAGAAGCCATTAGACCACTACAGATGTGACCCAACATGGGTCAATGTTCAGCCTCGGTTGCAAGGAAAGTGCAATAAGGTACGAGCTTTCGGCCTGGAGCAGGAAAACGAACGGGGTAGCTTTTAGTCACTCGCTTCAATCTGGGCGAGTAAAGTCAATTAATAATTTTCCTACCCACTCAAAAAATAAATACTTTGCATTACGTTCAATATTTGTATTGCATCTGCTCGAGTACCTAGTGGCGCTACGCTCATGGCGTTATTTGAGTATCTGATGCTTTGATGATGTCATCATAAGGCCTCGTTTACGGAGCCGCTGGATGTCCGTTCGTCAAACTTTGTGAGCCGACTCCGAGTTCGCGCAAACACTAACATATAATATGAGACGCGTTGCGCCGCGTCTCCGTAAACGAAGCCTTACAGTAAATCATATAAATTGACTATTTTATTAGCAACTACAAAAAATAAAATAATATATAAAAACAAATGCGACTGTTAGTAACAAGCTTTTTGTAGCCATTTTTTCCATTGTCAAATCTTATACGTGTTATAAAGCTTTTTAATTCCTCAAGTCATCATTCATCCCTTTTGTTATGAATTCCACGACATTCGGACAGCTTATTGCCCATCAATCGGTCATAGATCTAGTCTGCAACCCCGGTTGCAGGGCAAGCACAATGATGTACAAAGGCCTAAGCCTGGAGCATTAGAATTGAACAGAGCTAGAGAATCAGTACACGATTTTGCCGCCCAAAATACAAAAATTGATTCTAGACTTGCTTGGGATCTGCACCAGATACCCCTTGCTGGGCAGCTGTGCTTGCGACCTCGCTTTGTGCCTATCAACTAGTTTAACGAAATCGAAATGGGTCGAAAATTTGATAGTTGTAAGGTAATTTATGATTAAATTTTTATGTTGTTTTAGATTTCAAACAAGACAGCGGCATATCATCGGACTCTAACTCGGCATGTGATTTCTCTTACACGCCGAAGTTGAAAATAGAAAATGGTTAGTGGAAATGGAATGCTCTTCTCTATTATTTTTATTTCTATCTCTTACTCTGTATTTAACCTGTAGATACTTGACAATATCGTGGCCATTTTGGGTTGCGTACCTAAGGGGTAGAAAGGATATCTATAACTAAGACTCTGCTGCCTGTCCGTCTGTCTGCTTGTAATCAGAATGTATCTTATGATCCGTGATAGCTAGACAGTCTAAATTGGATATGGAATTTCTGTTGTCGCTATAAGAGTAGGTACCAAGATCAAAATGCCCCATACAGAAGACGTGGTTTTGGTATTCCTTTCTGTCCGAGTGTGACTCGCATTTGGCGCTTCGCATTTCCCATTTTTTTTAAATTTATAACGACCTACAGTATCTACATAATTGCAAAAAATCCTATATCTCTGCGTACCCATTGAGAATAACAAGAACATTGTATATCAGGAACTATTCAATAAATCTTACACGAGTCTATAATAACATAAAGAATTATTTCTATTCAATTTCAGATTCCATAACATGTCCATCTTGTGGCCAGCTTATACCTACAACTCAGTATGAAGAACACACATTCAATTGTATACAAAACGTTAAAAACGAAGTTACTAAAGAGGTTCCAGCTAATATTTTTGATACCAGTGTTGACAGTAACTTTGTAGATACAGCAACTGACAACGAATATGTAGCTCACTGTAAACAAATGTTAGGGGGATGTATTATGAACGATAAAGGCGAGAAATGTGTCTGTGCACAAATAACCAAGACTGTTGATGAAGAATACGATTTTACACCAATAGGCAATGAACCTCTAGATATGACTAAGACGGAGGTTACAAGTAGTATTACGACTAATGCAATTGTAAATAACAATTCCTGTGAAGGCTGTGAATGTGCCCAACGATGCGGTGTCAATGTTAATGGCGCGAGTAACTATCAAAACGATACTGCAGTCGTGGAATATAAACCTGATGGTACAGTGAAACTAAAAGACATATTTGAAATGGACATTCTTTCCATGAATACAGTTAAAGATGAAAAACCAGAGATAGCTAAGGACAATGAAGCCAATGCTTTACCGTACAATAGCTGTAAGGCTGTACTAGGTAACTGTATCGTTAGTGGAAACGGAATGATGGGCGACGGGTGTCTCTGCGCTAGGATGTTACTAGACGACCAAGTAACGGCGCAAGAAATAGACGACATCACGCCACGACCAAAAACTGAACTATTCTGTGATTGAAGCAACTTATTTTGTTACTTAAATATTGTTGTTTAACTAAGAGTTATATCGTTTGTTGGTACTTAATAAAGTCTCGATATTTTAGCCATGTTGTATCATTTTGACTGATATCTGCTTTTGTAGGAAAGGTAATTAAAACTTGATGATAATTATTATTAACTTTTATATTTATTTACAACATAATTCGATTATTTTACAAATCAACCATTTATACAAAATATTTATCTTAGTTAACAATTACTAAATTAATTATTATTTTACAATCAGACCTCACTTCTGTGTAATATCACTACGTTAATAAGTACGAACGGAATGTATAGTTTATCTGCGAGTTATCACATACACGGCATGGCAGACAATCACAAGAGAATATCAAACGCCGTCTAACGGTTACACCACATTGTTTTCAAACTCGTTATAGCGTCCGATTCAAGAATCATTTAAAATAAAATAATATACATTTAGCTATGGTAACAATTACAAGATAGGACTGTCAGGTAATCCTCTGAGTTCGAGGGCGTACTATTACAGGGCCTTAGGTGTTCGTGTACCTTCGGAGCGTGCATCGCGTAAAATACTTAAAGTACATACGTTTTTACCAGATATTTATACATTTTTACGCTATCTGCTTATTTTTTATAGACAAAGCAATAAATAAATCTAAATCTTTCTTTCAAGACGATGACTCTTCCTAGTTTGACTAGTCTAATGAATAAATTGTTCACGATAATATGAATAGGACATTAATATTAAAAGGTAGGTACTGTGCAAGTTTCTAAGAATCGAAACCCAGTAAATTGAATTCAGTAATTAAATTGCATTAAAATTGGTACAAATTAAAAATAATATGTTTTGAATAATTTGATCGACAGTGTCAACGGAATCACAGGAAATGGAAAAATAACGTTATAACTAATTGTGTTGAGTTAAAATTGAGCTGCAGACTACGCTTCATTGTTAATTACTGAATCATCTATTGTCCTCTTATCACTTTTTGGCAAATCACTAATGTCATTGAGCTCTTCAATGTTTTCACTTTTGTGCTGTTGCAAGAAACCTTTTTCTTCATCGATGGGTACTACGCTGAGGTCACCTTCGTTTTTGGTTGCGGGTACAGATGTAGTAGGGCTTACAGACTCGACATTTGCAACGATGCTTATTATGGTTGTAGTGGGTTCTCTTTTAGTAACCAGGTCATCAGTGTCCAATAAGAACTTGGAGACAGGTAGTGGGTCGGTTTCCTGGAGTTTTGATATTTTCATGTCACTGCTCATTAGGTCTAGTGTCGCTGAAGTTGTAGCAGCATCAGTTTCTGCCATTAAGGGTTGAGTAACTTTTGTGTCGTTTTCATGAGAATTCACGTTCATGAGTAATTCATTAAACGAAGTGTCGTCTTCCGACACTGGTGTTGAACTTACTACTTCTTGATTTTTAATGCTTGTCTCAACTTCTTTGCCTAATACTGCTAAAGAGTCATTATTTGATGATCCTTCGGGAGGACTTGAGACATGTTCTTCTGTGTTTTCGTTTTGAGTTTCTGTTAGATTGTTCGGTTCAAGATCATGACCTTCTTGAAGTTTTTTGACTAAACTCTTGTTATTTTCGACTTCAGGCAAGAAAGGATTCATTTCAGTTTCGTGGTCGTCATACTCTGCCGACTGGGGATTCGCAGATTTCGTCGAGGGCACTGAACTGTTACCGTTATGGCTTGGTATTTCGTATATATTAACATTGAGATTACTTAATTGTGTTGTATTTGTCAAAGTTTCGAAAATATTTTCTTTTTCGGTCGTAGAATTCGTGACTATTACATCCATCGGCGTAGTTGTGGTTGGTGTGCCAGTAGTAGAGGGTACCAGCATTTCACCAATCATAACAGGGTGCTCAAATACAGGTACTTCCATTTTTTTTGGCAATTCTTGGACGGTCAAATACTTATCACCTTCTGACTCCTCCCAAACTGGTGCAGGTGCAGCATCCATAGATATTTCGGGCTCACTGTTTTCATAATTCGTTTCTTTTATTACTGTAGTGATTTCTGAACTTGAGTTATTGGTTTCATTATCCATAACAGTGGCTTGAGAAACGTTATTGGAATTTTCTTCAGCGACTTTGTAAATATATTCTGTTACAGTGGTTGTTTCAATAGGCATATTAGTTGTTGCAGGTTCTTCTGATTTATTTTCTTTTATATCAGCCGTCTCACTTATTGATTCTGTTTTAGTGGTTTCAGTTGTAGCTTCTTTATTTACTCTTTTAAAACGTGAGTCTTCGTTATCGTAATCTTGTGCCATTCCATATAATGGTTCGTCTGATTCTTGTTTATTTCCAGTTGATCCCATATTGTTTAAGTAATCCGGTTCAAAATCATCAGTCTTGACTAAACCGTGATTCATTATTTCATCAATTTTGTGAATAATGGGTTCCGTAGGTTCATTCTTTGCCATTTTGTTCATAGCCTCATTGTAGTTTATTTCAGTGACGGATTCTGATAGCCAATCTGTATCAGTAGAAGTCAAAACTGTAGGTTCACCAGATGGCTCAGTTTCTTCAGTTGTAACAGGAGTGTCTGTAGTATTATTGGGCTTCACGGGTGGTTTTTCAATGGACTTAGAGGAACGGTTGTAAAGCATATTTATGGCATCAAAAGTTATATCCATACCTTCTTCAGGTTCCCGTTCGCGTTCACGTTCACGTTCTGTGGTTGTTGCATTATCTTGCGATTTATTCTCCAATACTTTCATTATTTTGTCTTCTTCGGTTTCTTGATAGTGATTGGTAATTGAAAATTGCGTAACAGTTTCCGGTTCTGAAGTCGTTGTTTGTTCAGTTGCGATCGGTTTATTAGTTAAAGACTTAGCTTCCTCTAGGATAGAAGTGATCATAGGTGCCTTTTCAGTTTCTGTTTCTTCATCGATTGGTGACGATTTTTCTGTTTCTTGTTTAATTTCAGGTTTGACGGTGGTTAACGTATTTTGTGTAGTTGTCTGTTCCATTTTATTTATTTCTACTTCATCTATTTCCTCACTAACAGGTGAATCCGCAATAGTCACTTTGCTGACCTCTTCCATTCTTTTTGTTATTTCTGTACTTGGGGTTGTCATATCTTTTTTGGTTTCATCTTGCGACTCACTTTCGAAAACTGACTTTGTGTTAACTGCAGTCGTTGTTTCAAACATGAAATCATCATCAAATCCTTTAAATGACCTTTGTTCAGATTCGTGCACAATTTTGTTCGCATTGTTGTTAAGGAGTTCATTGAAATCGGTCTGGTTGTGGTCATCAGATTTAACTGAAGTATGATACTCTAGCCAATCACTTACTTCAGTTGTGGGAGCTTCGCTTTCTGAAATATGAGTCTCTTCAGAAGGGTTAACATTGCGTTGTTTGGCACTTAAAATTGAGATTATTTCAGGCTTCGGCTCATATGATGGCTCATTGATGAGGTTTGGCTCAGATATGGAAATGCGTCTCGTAGTTATTTCTGTATCATCATTAGGTTTATATGCAAATTTACCTTTGTTCGTATATAAAATAGCTTTTTCTTCAGAATTTTCTGTGATATCATGGACAGAGCGCTGGTTGTTAGCTGCTGGTGTAGACATGTTAGACGTTTCGGTAACCGGAGAAGTATCGTGTTCTGAATCTAAACCCATTTCACGCATCTGTGTAATGAATGTGTCCATGGTGTGATTGATTTCAGATGTCTTTGGTGTAGTGGTCTGTGATGGTTCGGGTTCAGGCTGAGGTTCAGATGTTGGCTCTGATTTTGAAGGTGTTGTCATTAATTTTTGTTTTTCTCGTAAAATATAGGCCGGATTTAATGCAACAGGTTCTGGTGCAGTTGTGGTAGTAACGGGTTCGGGTTCAGGTTCAGGTTCCGGTTCGGATTCTGGTTCTGGTTCTTGTTTTGGATCAACAGACGGTTCAGGCTGAGCCTTTGGTTCAGGTTCTGATTCTGTGTCAGAGTCAGGTTCCGGCTTAGACATTGAATCCGATTCAAGTTCGAATTTTATGGTGGGTTCTGGCTCTGCGGTTGGTTCGGGTTCGGTTTTAGCAACAGGTTCTGGCTGTTTTATAGCAGTTGGTTCAGGTGTTGGTTCGGCGGTCGGATGGGGCTCAGCTGTTGGTTCTGGCTCTACTGATGGTTCCGGTTCTGCTGATGGCTCCGGCTCTGATGATGGTTCAGGCTCGGCTGCCGGTTCAGGCTCTGATGCTGGCTCCAGCTCTGCTACTGGTTCTGGCTCTGCTGATGGCTCTGGCTCAGCTTTAGGTTCTGGCTCAGGTTCAGGTTTAGCTTCTAGCTCCAGTTTCGGTTCAGGCTCAGCTTTAGGTTCTGGCTCGGGTGTAGGATGTTCTTCACTGGAATCAGACTTGGTGGTTTCGGACTGTTCTTGGTTATTAGGATGGCCGAAAATATGAGAGAAATTTACATCCGATTCATTTTCAGTTGTCGTTTCTGGCATCATATGATGTGTTTCCTTCCAGTCGAAATTATGCTCTTGTGAAGTAGCTGCTTCAGTAGCGGGCGTGCGTTCTATGGGGACTATTTTTGTAGTCATTGGTTGCGCATCTACTGTAAGAACCGTGAAGTCCTTATCTTGTTGTGTTTCCGTGTCTAATAGTGATACACACTTTTTAGGATTCGTCATGTCTAGTATTTGACCATGAGGGCAGGTGCAAGTGAACTCTAGAGTCATTTCATCGAAATCGCACCCGTGTTCGCAACCATTTTTGTTTATTTGACAGATATCTAGAACTGGTCTGGTAGTTATCTTGTCTTCGGCGATGTGATAAACGTTGATCATTCGGTTGTTCTTGGAGAGGTATTCGTTGAGTTTTGCCTCAAGTTTGTTAGCGTTAAGCAAATCCTCCGTGGGTTCAGCATTCAGCTTGGGCTTCCAATGTACTCGGTAGGTGACGATGATCGAACCTTTCCTGTAAGTAATAAATGTATTTATTATCAACTGTTACTCTATTAGTTTCGTTTACTAATCTTTTTATAGATATAGTCATAACGATAAGTTTTGTACTTTACGTATAGTCGTATTGGCCCGGGATTTAGAGCACCTTTACGTCATGCTTGAAGGTGAGGGCGCGAAACTTGTACCATTTTCCGACTGATATTCATTTTGAAGATTATTTACTACTGATATACATTGAAAGATAATATCGTGAGAAAAGTTGGGCTTATAATTTTTAGCTATAATTCTGAAATCATCAACGCGCCTTGAGCCATATTCCAAAGTCGTGTGGTGATTAATGCTTTTTCTCCGTATATTGATGCATGTGGTGTTTTGAATACTCATGTACGTAATTTATAATTACCTCAGCTGTGTAACTTCGACTGTGATCTCGTTTTCTCCATTGTCCAAGTGGTTCCTATCAAATAATGCTCTCTTTATTCCATGGACGAAGTTGGTGACAAATTCTCTATATTCGTTGCTCTCAGGGTCTTGAAGCGCGCTAGAGAACTCTTCGTTGTCAATCTTCAGCTCGCCTTCCACAGTTCTGGGCACTAAAGAAAAAAAGAGTTCATAATCATTTGTTTACATTTACAGTCTATGTCAATTCAATAGTACCTATCTATGGCCATGACTTAGACATGGTAAAGTCAAATAATTTATTTCAATTAGATCAATAAAAGGCACGTCTGACTCAAACAAAATAATTAAACTTAAAAAGTGTCAGTTAAGTTAAACTAAAATTGTATGAGAACCAATATTTGTGTATAAAAGTTATGGATACAGAAAGATCTTTGAACGCGGTTCCTTGGAAAGCTGATTCATAACACGTCGAACATAAAAAGGCCATCTCGTCTCGTCAAAACCAAAGTCAAACTTACAGCTTTGGAGAGGGATCCCCAATCCATAAATACCCAAAACCCCTTATCCCCAAAAGGCCGGCAACGCATTTGCTTCACATCTGATGGTGCGAGTGTTCAAGAGCGGCGCAGATTGCCTACCACCAGGTAATAGGACAGCTCGTTTGCCGCCGTATCATATAAAACTCGATGTACTTGTAGACTACAGTTTAGGTACTCACCATACATAGTGAAGTCGCCGGTTTCCTCCGAATTACTGGAGGGTTCGTGAGCTTCATCGCTCTGGGGTTCAGGTCCGTGTTGATGTTCCGTCGTCTCCATGCTATGATCGTGTTCAGCACTATGGTGGTCCTCATGGTGTTGATGATCAGTTCCATGGTCATGGTGAACATGGCCGATCCCACCCAGCGCCCGCGCAGAGTTCACCGATGCGTTGTATTGCTCCAAAGGAGTTGGCGAGCTCGTGAATAGGATACCCGCTGAAAGTGATAAGTATTCTTATTTTAGAACAGTGTACCCACTTTATGATGTCATGTTATTGTTGATCTAGGAATTTGTCTTGCCATATAGCACGAGAAAGATTGATAACACAATTATATCGTCGATTTAAAAGTGGTTGAATCGTACTAATTATGTGTGGGCGAGCCATGCTTCAGCACAATCGAAAATCGGAATGAAACAATCACAGCGTTGTGCAATGTGGCATAGCGATAGATCATAGTCTGGTTCTGCGGAAGAAGTAGTCGACAGGTTTACTTAACGCTGCTCTTCTCATATCATGAGTCAGGAGTACCTACACTCTTCAGTTATGTTATGATTTATAGCACCTCTGCCCAGCTCCTTGGACTTAAAATAAGAGACTTGATGGTTTGTAGGTACGTTTCATGGAAAACCATCTAAACAAACACAGCGCATCAATCTGCAGTATACCAGTGTATCATGATCTCGTTTTGTACGATCTTTGCGCTCAATAAACGGTCAGTTTATGCTGGTTTGTTTAACCTGTGTGTAGCCGTATGCACTTTCATTAACACACACTAAGTTAGAAAGTGAAAAAGTTACGTATTAATACTGATGGTAAAGGAATGACTACATTTCAATCTCATTTATGTAAACGTTCTCAGAAGACATTCTATATGTATTCCTACTAATTGACTATGATCTAACGACGGCATTCACTGGTTCATTATATTCAAAGAAATATAAAGGTAGGTATTTGGCGGGAAAGAGACAATTGGTTATCTATTAATAAGTTTACTAGTAAAGAATTACGGAGTTCGTTGGATCATCTAGTTAGCTAAACCAAACTCCTTGAAATGTGTCAAAGTTTAATAACGACAGGGTTGTTCTCTGCAGAAAATGTAATGCCATTTATATTAAAGAAATGATTTAATGATTTTTATTAATTTTCTTGCATTATTTTTGTTTGTTTCATCTTTTAAGCCTCCCATAGACTTCTCCGAGACTATTTAAAGACAACATTAGCCGAATCGGTGCATCCGTACCGATGGAGGTGAAGTTTAGTGTATTAAGTAAGTATATTTTATTATCAGAAATCAGTCTTTAGAAAACTATTATAGTAGGTAGGTACGTAGGTAAAAAGACAAGTAAATAGTGTAAATAGCAGGTAGTTTTAAACCTAGAAATGTCTTCACCAGATTCTAAAATATTATCTATAAAAATCAAATGACGTTCGTTATTCTCGAACCCAAAACCCAAGAACGGCTGGTCCGTTTTGGATAACTTTGGTCTTCAAATATTCGTTGAAGTTCAGGCAAGGTTTGAAAGATCAGAAGCAGTATGGAGTTTGCCGGATCAGCTGGTTAATATTGAAATAGATAATATTCTTTACTTACTTGCTGCTAAAACAATGATGGCGACTATAGCGGCAACGACTAGTCCCAGCAGGGTCCAGCAAAGAGGTCGCTTGCAACCTCCTTTCTCACCCCGTTTGTCCGCAGTCACGTATAGTTTCTCGCCCCTGTAAAAAAAGTAAAAATAACATAAGAATTTTGTTTCTGATATGATGGATAAAAGTAGGGTTAGTCTTTAAATATAACAATTGAATAACTTTTATAAAAAAGTAATTGATTTCCTACCTACATAGAATGCTATAATATTACAAATAATATTTTTCTTATCAATTTTATAGATTCTCACGACGATATAATAAGATATCATTAAATATTACCTGTTATTAACAGTATAACGTAGCAATAAACCATTGATAGTCAACGACATCATGGTAAATTTAAACAAGAATTTCGAGTAAGACTTACTCCACCAGCTTTATAACTAAACAAATAATTAGACACTATCGGTTCTACATAGACAAAAAAACTAACAATTAATATCCAATTACGAAACGGATTGCATAATTACACGGATGGGTAAAATAACCCGGTGTAGCGTAACTGGAGAGGTCACAACGTTGTTGATTAGCATAAAAATGAAGCAAATTTAATTACACGCACTTTTCAATGTCTGCATTGGTTATGAAGCGCTGGTGACAACAGCTCAGACTGTGAGAAGTTAAAAAACTTTCTGAGGATTTTTCCATTATTTCCTGCGCAACGGACGCCGGGTGGCTTTCAATGGAATTGTCCATTATTTCCTGTTCTTTCGAAAGTGGAAGCTTTTCGTTGGATTTATCCATTTTTTCCTGGATTACTTTGACACTAGTGATTCACGTGATTGACCTGGCGCGGCAGCCGAACGGGCACCTACTAAGGGACTTTAGCTTAGTTAACATTTAATATTTTTTGCAATTCAGAGTTTTTTTCTTTTACCTGCACATGTTTATAATGAAGTATCGTCAAAAGTTGCTAATGAAGGTAGTTTTTAGAATATCTAATTACATGCGTCATTAGTATATTGCCCCTATCAATATACTATATACCTGTAAAGTATTATAGACTATTTGTATTTACTATGTCTTTTGCAGCTTTGAGATAATAAACATAGAAAAGAAAGTTCTCTGTTATTAAAATCTCGACATGTAATTAGCAAAATTGAATCACTACATACCTAGTATAAAACAAAGTCGCTTTCTCTCTCTATATGTATATCTATGTATGCTTAAATCTTTTAAACTACGCAACGGATTTTCATGTGGTTTTTAATAGATAGAGTGATTGAAGAGGAATATTTGTGATGTATGTATACTAGTGATTGAATATTTCAATGAGTTTTGTAGTAATTGCACCCGTTAAAACTAATTCGTACACACACTTCCTACTTTAATATCAACAATTGATTGTTTAAAAGTACATAAGCGTTAAAACGTGAAGCTATGTAAGTACGACAACAGCTAATAACAATGTGTAACTTTAATGCAATAGGGATCAAAATCCAAAAACTTAACATTGTGCATGTGGTTTTAAATTCTGATTTGGGATGCACCTATGCAAATACATGGGTTGAGTTATTTGAAGGTCGGAAGGCAAGAGTCAGGGCGCGGCGCATTCCTTGCTTATACAGTTGCCTTATTTGATACCACATATTCAGGATCGTTTTTACTAGGCAGATAAAGTGAATGTCTCTGATCATATTTAGAAGATTATTTTTATTACACTGATAGTCAAGATCTTTATCGTTTTAAATTTGCTAGGGTATAATTTACATCTTACAGAGATGTTTTTTATTATTATTTTGAATGGATCGAAAATAATTTGCAGTTCACAGAAGAGTAATTTTTTTTTAAGAATACCGATTTGTAAATTTTTTTAATATTGTTCTAAGGGTATTTCTAATTTTTATTCCTTTTTTTTAATTACTGTGGTTTGACTCCATAATAATTTAAGAAGTAAATTGTATTTCTTACTTTTTTATCGAAATGACTTGAATCCTTGTTCATTTTAAAAAATATGATTTAAATATAAATTGTATTTCAATTTGACGTAAACTGTTACTTACCATTTAATATTTCTACAGCGGTAACGATAGTAGGTAAGTATATGTGTGTGTTAATATTATGATCTGTGTGCACCATAAACTAAGAAATTAAATAAATGAATTGCTATTCTAATAAAAGGCGCATAAAAAGTAGATGCAACATAGTATTTATATACTCCCTGAGATATAAATCGAAGGCAGTTATAAACAAGTATGTGTGTAAGTTAGATCCAGCCATAAACGAACTGAGTTTTAAAAATCGCAATGTTGCCATAGACAAATAGGTAGAATATAACATCGCCAGGTGCTCTGAGCAGAACTTGTTTCCTTCAATGAGGTTTTAATGTAAGCACTAAGCAGCTGGCCACTAGATCTTTTATTTTCTAATGACATCGGTGTTGTGGAAGGATTTTGTATTAATAATTGTATTTTAAGCTATCCAGTTTGGATTAAAACACGATGATATTTTAAGAGAAGTTATTTGCACTTATTTTTATACTAATTGATAAATTGAAATACTAATTGTTGAGTACCTAGGAGTACCTGTACCTATGTGTAACAGTATGGGGGCATTTTTTTAAAATGGGGAACATCACCTGATCTCTTCTCTCGTCCTGATTGGGTTGAGAGGGAGTGTCAGATTCTTACTGACTTAAAACCATCCCGTTCCTTTTGCTCCAGGCTGAAGACACGGTAAAGTATTACGACTGGCAACCCCAGCTGTTAAACCTTGTTTTAATAGGTATGTACTTACTGTAATGTATGGGATAATTATGATCTCTGTGATTACTACTTTTGCATATTATAATTGTTTATTTAAACTTCACGCACGGTGTGCACATATGTGGTGGTAAGCCTTAGGTATTTTCTACCAGTCAAGCCTTGGGCGATGCAAGAAGCAAGCAAACAGACTAAATCTATACTAATATTATAAAGAGGTAAAATTTTAAAGTTTGTATGTAGGAGGTAATCTTTGGAACCGTTGGTCGGATTGGCAAAATTCTTTCACTGGCAGCTAATTTAATATAAGATACGAGGCAGTATTTCAAATAAATTGTATAAAAATTATTAACAGTATGGCAGTCGGAACATGGACACAGTAATCAATTGTTAGGGCTTTGAAGAGGATAAACTTCCTCACAAAACGTGCCGTCTTAAAGAGTCTCGTCTTCTTCATCAGGCCCTTGACCCAACCTTCATTGGTTGTCGTTGTGGTTGTATATTGATTACTACGACTACTGCCTTTTAAGAGAAAGAGAAAGAGAAACCAATTTATTGAGGACTGTAATTACTCTATTGATATACGGTTCACTTTTTCAATGCGATGAAATTCAAACGGTGCAAGCATGCAAGTTAGCACACGCTCACGTGTAGGTAATAAGGTATAGTACTTCTCCCTCACACGCTCGCGACAAGTCCTAAGACATGTTATAGAACTGAGAACTGAGACATGTCGGTTATTATAAAATCCGCCGGTGGTCGTGAGGTGAGCGCGGTCGCCGGGTCGTCGCCCTGCGCTTTGTTCCCTCCCCGCCGCCCGCGACCCGCTGAACGTCCCTACCGGAACCACTGCACCTTATGTCCCTTCATCGGCCCTAGAACCGTCACACCATTGACATAACTTTAACTTTCCATGCTGTGTTAAAAGACGGGAAAATTTTGTGCTTAAATCTTAGACAACGTTTTCATTTTGTACCTTCTAGTTCGATAGTCTTTAGCTACAAATAATGACTAATTCAATGCAAGATAATCCTGTAAGATTAACATAGAACGTTACATTTTTGGTTAAACCAACTAACACACCCGTAATTGGCGATTAAGCATTAAGCAAATTATCTTAAAAGTCTAATGAGGTCGATTCTTCTATCGCGCAAACTTGTCATCGATTGCATAATTACAAACATTAGTCCATAGTCAAACAAGATTTTATGGCAATTAGCTGGTGCAAAACCAGTCTTGTCTCGGCGCAGTCAAAAAGCTGACAACAGAAGTGACCCACATTCGGCGTGTGTGCGATCAATGATCAATCAGAGCACGAGCCATTGAGTAAGCCTCTGTCTATTCAGATCATGAATGGGCTCAAATATCAGTGTGTCGTTCGGTTTTACGCAATATGCTAGAAAACTGTGCATTTTAATGTTCTGAATGTTGGATACATAGGTACATTGTTGTATTTTTATATTATACTTAGATGCGTGTCTGTAAATATCCATACTGTATTTATTTAGCTAACTAGCTAAGATATAATATATAAACAAACTAGACTTCAATGTTTCAATGAACAATAGGTTCTTAATTCTCTTCCTTCCTTAAATAGGTGTGTAAAGTTCAAAGTAAGTTATTGAAGACTTCAGTTCCGTATTCCAGTACGCATCTCATTTGAGTACCGTTCACCAAGGAGAGGGCGTGCGAAATTGTTTAAGAAAATGATCTCCATATGACTAGCTAACCGTTAATTTTCACACTGGCATTATTTATTTGACCGTTTGGTTTTGTTTTGTTGGATATGAGGCCTTGAAAGGACTGTTTCGTGTCTAGTTAAAGGTTCATTGGTGGACTATATGTGAATGAGTAATCCAACGGCCTCACAGAAAAACGACGTGAAATAACCACAGCGTTGTGTTTCGCCGCGTCAATGTCAATCCTTCCCCTACCCAAATCCCTCCACATTCTCAAAATCGCCAAATCCCCAAAAGGTCGGCAATGCACTCGTAACTCCTCCGTCCACCATCAGGTTACGCTAGCTCGTTTACCGACCTATCACATAAAAAAAACAAAGTTTCCGGCAATTGCATGTCGTGTGCTTGTATTTATTTGTATTATTTTCTTGTCTAAAGCAACTTAGGAGTGGTAAGAAAAAGTTTAATTAACACAACAGTCTTTAGTAAATTAAGAACGGTACTTTGAAGACCTCAATCTTAGCTGAGAGCTTTTGTCTTCGTATGTAAGAACCAGCGTCACATCGAGCATGACCAACGATACACTCTTTTGTTTTTTTTTGAACAATAGACAGAACTATGTGCTTCGACCTCTTTGGTAATGTGGAGAAATTTAAAAGGATGGGTCGACATAGTTATACACAAGATA